CCGCCCTGCATTCCTTGCGTCGAGGGGCGGCAGCACGCCGCTCCTCACTCCTCCTCGTTCCCTCCCACAGAGGCTCCACTGCAGACTCTCCACCTGGACGTGTGGGGCCCTGCCCGCGTCCGTGGACAGGGCCACGAGCGGTACTTCCTGCTGGTTGTCGACGACTACACGCGTTGCACCACGGTCTTCCCCTTGCAGCGCAAGGGGGATGTCCCTGATGTTTTGATCCCCTGGATCCGCGCTACTCGTCTCCAGCTCCGCGAGCGGTTCCAGTCGGACTTTCCTGTCCTGCGTCTGCACTCTGACAGAGGTGGTGAGTTCTCCTCAGACCTCTTGGCCGCCTTCTGTGCGGAGCACGGCATCCGCCAGACTTTCACGCTTCCGGCCTCTCCGCAGCAGAATGGGGTTGCTGAGCGCCGCATTGTCTTAGTCATGGAGGTCGCTCGTACCTCCATGATCCATGCGGCTGCCCCCCATTTTCTGTGGCAGTTTGCGGTCCGGTACGCCGCGCATCAGCTCAACCTTTGGCCCCGTGTCTCCTTGCCGGAGACCTCGCCCACACTGCTGTGGACCGGGAAGGTTGGCGACGCGTTGCGTTTCCGGGTCTGGGGTGCTCGTGCCTTTGTTCGCGATACCACCGCGGACAAGCTCTCCCCTCGCGCCATTCCTTGCGTCTTCCTTGGCTTCGTCCTTGACGCGCCTGGCTGACAGTTTTACGACCCCGCCTCGCGCCGTGTCTTTGCGTCACAGGACGTCACCTTTGACGAGTCGGTCCCCTTTTACCGCCTCTTCCCCTACCGCACTGCTCCTCGCCCTCTCCCGCCGCTCTTTCTTGCCCCAGGTCCTCCCCAGGTAGACCCCCTCCCCGCGCCAGGTCCTGCTCCTTCAGGTGTTTCTCAGGTAGACCCTCCCGTCCCTGCGCCTGTTGAGGTCACTGGTGACTCCGGTCCTGCTGGTGGTGGTGCTGTCCCTGGGGGTGCGGAGCTTGGGGGTTTGCAGCGTGGGGGTGCTGAGTCTGGGGGCGCTGGGCGTGAGGGGCCTGAGGGTACGGAGCCTGGGGGTGCTGAGCCTGCGCGTGAGGAGCCTGGAGGTCCTACGTCTGGGGGTGCTGCGTCTGGGGGTGCTGAGTCTGGGGGTGCTGAGCCTGCGTGTGCGGAGCCTGAAGGTACTGATTCTGGGGGTGAGTCGCCTGAGGGTCCTGAGACTGCTGTTACGCGGTCTCCTTGGAGTTGCCGTCTTCGTCCACGTGTGCCTCTCACCTCCCAGCAGTTGCACGACTGCTACGGTCGCCGTCACCGTCGCGCTTCTGCACCTCAGGGCTCTACTGCTGGGGGTTCTTCTGCTGGCGTCACTGGAGCTGGGAGTGGTGCTGGTCCTTTGCCTGCTGGAGGTGTTAGTGTCGCTGGTCCCGGAGGTGCTCGTACTGGGAGTGCTGGAGCTGCTGGGGCTGACGGTGGCGTGTCTGAGGGTGCTGCTGCTGGTGGCACTGCGGTTGGAGACCCTGGTAATGGAGGTGCCGGTTCTGGGGGTGTTGCAGCAGGTTGGGCTGGTGCTGAGGGTTCTGGAGCTGCTAGAGGTGCTGGGGCTGCTGAGGGTACTGGGACTGCTGGAGGTGCTGGAGCTGCTGAGGGTACTGGAGCTGCTGGAGGAGCTGGAGCTGCTGGGGGTACTGGAGCTACTGGAGGAGCTGGAGCTGCTGAGGGTGCTGGAGGTGCTGGAGCTGCTGCGGGTGCTGGAGCTGCTGGAGGTGCTGGAGTTGCTGAGGGTGCTGGGGCTGCTGGTGCTGGTGGCACTGCACAGCCGCGCCTGTTCTTTGCTCCGCCGTCTCCGTCGTCTCTGCCCCCGCCTGGCTCCGTGCTTCGCCAGGTTCTTAGCCTCCCGTCGTCTACTGGTCTTCCGTTACAGCCTGGCTCACCTCCGCCTGCTCCTTCTCCTTACGCTGAGCAGACGGGGGGCCTTGCTGAGCGTCGTGAGCCTGCGTCGCGTCCTGTCTCACCTGTCCTTTCCGGTCGTTCCAGTCGTCGTGTTCCTCCTCAGCGTCAGCCGGCTGTCCCCGGCCCTTCCCTTGTCGTCCGTCGTCCTTCGTCTCCGCCGCCACGTGTTCACCTGCCGTCTCCGCCTCCGTCCTCTCTACCTGTCGTTGCTGACCCTGAGTCTGACCAGTTTCGTGCTGAGCACCCTACTGTCACGCGTCTGCTAGCCACTGTTGTCGCCGACCCGTCGTTTGAGTCTGCTGCTGCGTCTGCCTTAGTCGCTGAGCTTGTCGACTTTGCTGCTCACTGTCGTCTAGACTACGCCGCTAGTCTTGTTGCTGAGTCTGAGTCTGTCTGTCCTCCGTCCGTCGGGGGTGAGTGTGCTCTTGGCACGGACGTCCTTGAGGACAGGCAGGAGGACCTTGAGTGTCTTGCAGCCGCTGCGCCTCATCTCGTGTCCATGCTGCTTGCCCCTGAGGGAGACCCGGATGCTCCAGACATCCCGACCCCGCGCTCTTACGCTGAGGCGATCGCGGGTGAGTACTCCTCTCAGTGGCAAACAGCCATGGACGCAGAGATGGCATCCTGGAAGTCCACAGGCACGTACGTCGACGAGGTTCCCCCTCCTGGGGCGAACATCGTCAGTGGCATGTGGATTTTCAGGGTGAAGCGGCCGCCAGGTTCTCCACCTGTCTTCAAGGCTCGTTACGTTGCTCGAGGTTTCAGTCAGCGAGAGGGAGTTGACTTCTTCCAGACCTTCTCCCCCACCCCGAAGATGACCACTCTTCGGGTGCTGCTGCACGTTGCTGCTCAGCGTGACTACGAGCTTCACTCTCTTGACTTCAGCACAGCTTTCTTACAGGGCAGCCTGCACGAGGAGATCTGGCTGCGCCGTCCACCTGGCTTCACTGGGTCGTTCCCTCCTGGTACCCAGTGGAGCCTCCGACGGCCAGTCTACGGTCTCCGCCAGGCGCCACGTGAGTGGCACGACACACTGAGGACGACGCTTGCGGCTCTTGGGTTTGCCCCGTCGACTGCTGACCCGTCGCTGTTTCTGCGCACCGACACTTCACTGGCGCCGTTCTACATCCTCGTGTACGTCGACGACTTGGTCTTTGCCACGGCTGACACTGAGGCGCTCGCCCTGGTGAAGTCGGAGCTGCAGAAGAGACACACGTGCACAGATCTGGGTGAGCTGACAAGCTATCTTGGCTTGCGGATCACCCGGGACAGAGCACGCCGCACCATCACACTGACTCAGTCACACATGGTGCAGCAGGTCCTTCAGCGCTTCGGCTTCACCTGGTCCTCAGCACAGGCCACTCCTCTGGCTACAGGTCACTTGCTCTCAGCTCCACCTTCGGACGAGTCCGTAGAGCCGAGTGGTCCTTACCCAGAGCTAGTGGGTACCTGATGACCTGCACTCGTCCTGACCTTGCGTACCCTCTTGGCCTTCTGGCTCGCTACGTGGCTCCTGGTCGGCACCGAAAGGTGCACATGGATGCTGCTAAGAGGGTACTACGCTACTTGTGCAGTACATCGGGCATGGGGCTCGTGCTTGGAGGACGGGGTGACGTTGTCCTCACTGGTCACTCGGACGCCTCTTGGGTTGACGACCAGGCTACGCAGCGGTCGTCACAGGGTTACACCTTCAGCCTTGGTTCTGGCTCAGTTTCCTGGCGTTCTACACGTTCGTCTTCAGTTCTCGGCTCCAGCTGTGAGGCCGAGATCTACGCCACAGCCATGGCTGCACAGGAGCTACGCTGGCTCACCTACCTGCTGACCGACTTGGGAGAGCGGCCTCGTTCTCCTCCAGTTCTGTACGTCGACAACAAGGCCGCCATTGCCTTGTGTCAGGAGCACAGACTGGAGCACAGAACGAAGCACATCGCTCTGCGTTACTTCCTTGCTCGAGAGCTGCAGCAGCGTGGCCAGCTTCGTCTTGCTTACGTAGCCACTCGGGCCAACACTGCTGATATATTCACCAAGGCGCTTCCGCCTGGTGATCATCAGCGTTTCTGCACCTTGTTAGGCCTAGTGCCCACACTTCCTCACTTGCTGTAGGCTTTGTTTGTACTGTGATATATATATATATCTCTGCATGTGAACTGGCCTTGTGGTCTTTTGCTTGTGCTCAGACTGCGTGGTGACGTTGTGATCCACCCTGAGATGTGTTTTGTTTCTTCTCTTGACTGGTCTTGTGACCGTTGCTTGCTCTGGCTATCCCCCATTTCGCCTATGGGGGTGTGTCAAATTATATATATGCTTGTTTAGGTTATCTAGGCTGTATGGGGTTTAGCACTAGGGGGTACACAAACTTTCTCGACACCCTAGTCTTGTACCCTAGCCTTCACCTAATCGACAAACACTTGCCTTAGGTTCTTAACAACCATATAATGTTTCACGAAGCCTCCCTCTTTGCCCGTGCAGTGCTAGGTTGCTGCACCACATGACAAATGGGTGCACTACAAGCAATTGAGTTGGAAAACCTATCACTTCACAGTTGAGGTTTTAGCCAAATTGCTTGTCTCGAATTAGCCTTCTCCCCTGCACTTTCCCAGTAAAGGGGAAGTTGCCACTCCGCACAATATCCCAGAATGCCATGCGACAGGCACACCCGGCAGGCACCAGTGCACGCAGTCCTAATGCCCCGGTGCCGTGCCGTCCTTGTCATACCACCGGGACAGGTGCACCAGCAAGAAGTATTACAATCGGAAATACCGTAAGATAAGAACCCACTGCAATTTGTACAGTAGTTGTTACATTTCTTGAACCAGCTTGCTGCCACTGTCCCTATCCGTTTCCCCTCACACTTCCCGAGGCAAGGGGAACCGGCCACTCCTCACAATCTCCCAGAACAGCAACTCATTCCATGCGTCGGGCACACCCGGCAGGCAGGCACCAGTGTACGCAGTCCCGCTGCCCGGGGCCTTGCCGTCCTTGTAATACCGTATCACCGGGACAGGTGGACCAGCAATTTGCAATCCTGTACACGTAAGAATGGTACAGTGATTTATACAATCTTTGTTACATGTCTTGAATCATACTGCTGTTGCTACCACCCCTATCCCCTCTCTCTCCCGCTTCCCCAGGCAAGGGGAACCGGCCACTCCGCACAATCTCCCAGAACAGAAGCTCATTCCATGCGTCAGGCACACCCGGCAGGCACCAGTGCACGCAATCCTGCTGCCCCGGCGCCTTGCCGTCCTTGTCATACCACCGGGACAGGTGTGCCTCGGGGCGCAGGGCAGACAGCGCCGTGATGTTCAGCAGCCGCACTGCCGTGCCCTCCACTGCTGCCTCCGCATTCCAATCCCGCGACTGAAAATGCAGCTGATCCACTTGCTCCTGCATCAACATGTTCTGGGGAGGGAGGGGGGTTGGGACAGAGGGATGGGTGAAGAATGTAGAACGTGAGAGGGAGGGAAGGCAGCAGTCCTGCTGCCCCGGTGCCTTGCCGTCGTTGTCATACCACCGGGACAGGTGTGCCTCGGGGCGCAGGGCAGACAGCGCCGTGATGTTCAACAGCCGCACTGCCGTGCCCTCCACTGCTGCCTCCGCATTCCAATCCCGCGACTGGAAAAATAATTGGTCGGCTTGCTGCTGAGTCGGCATGCTCTGCTCTGCAGAGGTTTCGGGTTTCAGGGTTTGGGGGTTGGGAATTGGGACTGGGAGTTGGGACAGGCAGATTGAGCAGCTGCACCGCCGTATCTTTAACTTCAACCAGCAAAAAATCTCCCACCTTTCTATACTTGCTCTAAGCAACACTACCATGCTCACAGCCCTGAATAATCCTAAAATAACCGTTACCAACCCCAAAAAACCTTGAACATCGCTAGCCCCTCACCTGCAGCTTGTCACAACCCCCGCCATTGTTCCATTGCCCAACCATGAAATGCGCCGGCGACCGCGTCACCAGCAGCAACAGTGGCAGCAGTGGCAGCAGCAGCAGCAGCAGCACCAGCGGCGGCAGTGACAGCAGCAGCAGCAGCAGCAGCAGCACCAGCGGTGGCAGTGACAGCAGCAGCACCAGCAGCATCAGAGGCAAAGCACCAGCAGCCCATGCTTTCATCCCCCAACAACCCTCAACCCCTCACCTGCAGCTTGTCACACCCTCCTCCAGTGTTCCACTGCCCATCCATGAAATGCGCCGGCGACCGCGTCACCAGCAGCACCAGTGGCAGCGCCCGCACTCCCCCCTCCCCCCCCTCTCTCTCCGCACCCTCCCCCCTCCCCCCTTCCCGCATCGCAACCAGTTGCATCCTCTCCCTCTCCTCGGCTATCGCCTGCAGCTGACGGTGAGTCCAGAGTGCGGTCGAGCGCAGCACGGTGCGCATGGGCACGTTGAAATCACCTTCCATCTCCTTGTGCACGTCTGGGGGGACCGGGACCCCGTGCAGGTGGAAGTGCCACCCGTACTCCTGCATCTTGTTGCTGGGAGGTGGGAGGGGAGAGGATGGGGGGAATGAGGGCATTGGGCGGAGGAGTGCAGCACGGTGCGCATGGGCACGTTGAAGTCGCCCTCCATCTGCTTGTGCGCGTCTGGGGGGACTGGTATGCTGTGCAGGTGGAAGTGCCACCCCTACTCCTGCATCTTGTTGCTGGGGGGGATGGGAGGGCGGGGGATGGGGGTATGGGGGACTGGGGAAATGAGGGTATGGGGGGGAACGCACGGGCAGCACGGTACGCATGGGCACGTTGAAATCACCCTCCATCTCCTTGTCTGTGTCTGGAGGGATTGGCAGCAATCCCATATGGAACTGCCACCTGTACTCCTGCATCTTGTTGCTGGGGGGAGGGAGGGAAGGAGTGGAAGAGGGGGGGAAGATACTGAACCTCTCCTTTCTCTCCTCTCTCCCTCTCCTCTCCCTCTGCGCCTCTCCCTCTCCTTGGCAATGGCCTGAGCCTGGCCTCACTTGAAGGTACTTCAAGCTCTCACAAGCAATGAGTGCAGAGGCGACTTCCGTCGCAACCGTTTTAGGCCGTTGAAGGAAGGCGAGACTTCTGTCAGCATCACAGCCTCATGGCATGGGGATGCAGGAATGGGGAGACAAGTGGAGAGAAAACGATGTGTAACGACAAAGTGTATAATAACTCATCCTCTGTACACTTTTTGTGCAGCCTTTCTTCGTTATAAGCACAGATTTCAATACACACATGTCCTAGAAATAGAGAGCAATATGATTACATACATCTCCACTCACATGCCCTATTACCACTATAATCACACCCATCTCCACTCACATGTTCCAATGGTGCCTTGTGTTCATTATAATCACATCCAGCTCCTCCATATGCTGCCTCGAGACACCAGCCAGTACCACACAGCAATACCTCTCCCCCCTTTAAAGTCACACCCCTCTTCACTCACATGTTCCAGTGGTGCCCCGTGTTCATTATAATCACATCCATCTCCTCCATATGCTGCTTCAAAAACTCGTCAGGTTGGTCCAGGTGGGCCGCCTGTCCCGCTGACTCGTTCGCCCAATCCTTGCGCGCCACATGGCACAGCGACGTGGTCCACTTGAGCACCACTGTGGTGTTGGTTTCAGGGAAGCGGTAGGCTGAGCCCTGCAGTGGTGAGAGTGGGTGGGGGAGAAAAAGCGAAGGAAGAAAGTGAGAGTTGAGGAGTTGAGGAGAGTTGGGACACCTGCCACCCACCTGCCACCCACCTGCCACCCACCTACCGCCCACCTGCCGCCCACCTGCCACCCACCTGCCGCCCACCTGCCGCCCACCTGCCGCCCACCTGCCACCCACCTGCCGCCCACCTGCCGCCCACCTGCCATCCGCGCCAGGCAGCAGTCCAGTTGAACTTGTAGTCCGCTGTCGCGTGACTCGATGTGCGGATCGTGGGAGCGTGGCGCGGAGGGGAGATGGGATGGGGCACGCTTTGAGACACCCCACAACTCCCCTCCACGCCACCACCCACCCACCACCCACCACCCCACCCACCCACCCACCTACCATCCGCGCCAGCCGGTTGTCCAGTTGAACTTGTCATCTGCATTGCGTGACTCGATGTGCGGATCGTGGGAGCGTGGCGCGGAGGGGAGATGGGATGGGGCACGCTTTGAGACACCCCACAACTCCCCTCCACGCCACCACCCACCCACCACCCACCACCCCACCCACCCACCCATCCACCCACCCACCCACCCACCCACCTACCATCCGCGCCAGCCGGTTGTCCAGTTGAACTTGTCGTCTGCATTGCGTGACTCGATGTGCGGATCGTGGGAGCGTGGCGCGGAGGGGAGATGGGATGAGGCACGTTTTGAGACACCCCACACCTCCCCTCCACGCCACCACCCACCCACCACCCACCAACCCACCCACCCGCCCACCTGTCATCCGCGCCAGCCAGTTGTCCAGTTGAACTTGTAGTCTGCTGTTGCGTGACTCAATGAACGGCTCATGGGTGCGTGGCGTGGGGGAGAGATGAGATGAGGCACCTTCTGAGACACCTCACAGCCCAACCCACCTGCCACCCACCCACCCACCCATCTGCCACCCACCTGCCATCCGCGCCAGCCAGTTGTCCAGTTGAACTTGTAATCGCTGTCTCGCGACTCGATGTACGGCTCGTGGGTGCGTGGCGTGGGGGAGTGCCTTGGAAATGGGAGAGACGCACCTGCCATCCGCGCCAGCCGGTTGTCCAGTTGAACTTGTAGTCTGCATCTCGTGACTCGATGTACGGCTCGTGAGTGCGAGGCGTGGGGGAGATGAGGCAGAGGAAGGAGAAGAACTGCTGCAGCCCCACTGAATCGCCCACAAACGCCACCTTCTTGTTGCGCAGACTGGTAGGAGCATGTGGAGGATTGAGAGGGTGTTTGGATGGGGGAGTGGGGCGTGAAGAGGGGAGATGAGATGAGGCAGAGGAACGAAAAGAACTGCTGCAGCCCCACTGAGTCGCCCATAAACGACCACTGAAATGGGAAAGTGAGAGCAGAGAGAAGCTATACAGGGCTCTTTCAAATAAGGACTTGTGGAGCGGGTGGCACACGGGGTTCAGCCGGTTTCAAATACACCGCTCTAAACCGTTTCCTTTCGACCACATACAGCTGTGCACCGTGCTCTTTCCCACCAAACGACACACACCGTTCCGATCATTCGAGCACATACCATTCTCTGAGCTCCGTCGTGCGGTTCAACCCAATCTTCGAGCCACTGACCCCACCAACCACTCTCTCCATAACCCACTTTGGGGGCGCCTAAAAAAAAAACTCGTCCTTTGAGGCCAACCCAACCACTGTTTTTACACCCTCACACCCACACCACCGCTCTTTGAGCTCGGTGCGGTTGAGCCTGGGTACTCGGCATCCCTCCGGCTGCCACCGGTACAGCTCGTAGAGGAAGGAGAGGCGGTCCTTGTAGACCATACCCACCGTTCCTCGTATCCCATCAACCCATCCACACCCACACGTACCGCTCCTTCAGCTCGGTGCGGTTGAATCGAGGGACGCGACACCCCTCCGGCTGCCATCTGTAATGCTCGTACAGGAATGAGGGGCGGTCCTTGCGGCGGCACGTCCAGTGGGGCAGAGGGAACTCGCACGTGCTGCCGGAATACAAAAGAGCCGCGGTTCTTGCGCGGGCCACCCCTCAAGAAGCAAACCACCTTCCGCTCTCTTCATACCCCATCCAACCCACCCACACCCACCGTTCTTTGAGCTCGGAGCGGTTGAAGCGGGGAACTTTGCACCCCTCTGGTTGCCATCTGTACTGCTCGTAGAGGAAGGAGGGGCGGTCCTTGCGACGGCACGTCCAGTGGGTCAGAGGGAACTGGCACGTGCTGCCTGAATACAGCGGGTGGCCCCGAGAGTCTCTCACCCACCGCCCTGTGTATAGGTCGCAGGTTTCCGACAGGGGCGGCAACGGCTGTCTTCTTCTTCTGCTGCCTTTCCTCCCATTTCTCCTTGTCGTTCTGTGCTTGCTGGATGTGCCGTTTAGGGTTGGTGAGCGGCTACCCCCTCCTCCTCCTCCCACGTGACCAATTCCCGTCTCCTCGTCACCTACTCTCACTGGAATAACACCCGCTTGCTCCTGCTGCTGCTGCTGCTGCGGCCGTTCCTGTTCCCCTTCGTCCTCCCCCCCCTCTTGCTCCCGCTGCTCTTGACCTAATTGCACTTTGGTAGCGTCCCCATCATTACCATTGGCTGGGTTACCACTGGCACCAGCAGCAGCAGAGTCTCTTTCACCAGAAGCAGCAGCATCAAACCTATCAGCAGAACGGGCTCCATCTCTTTCCCCGGCAACAGCACCACCATCCATCAGCCGTGCTCTCTCTGCCCTCTGCTCTGCATCTGTCTCTTCCTCTGACTCCTGTTGCTGCTGCTGCTCCATCCCCTCCATAAGCTTCCTCGCTTCCTCCACTGTGGCAGGGGATGGAAGGGCAAGTCATGTCATGCCATGGCATGGTGAAAAGTCATTGTGGAAGCGAGTAAGCTTATGGAGGGGATGGAAGAGCAAACATGGCTGTGGCGACACGTCACCAGATGGAAAAGCAGTAGCAGCAGCAGACAGGCCTTAGCAGCAGCAGACAGGCCTTAGCAGCAGCAGACAGGCCTTAGCAGCAGCAGCAGCAGACAGGCCTTAGCAGCAGCAGACAGGCCTTAGCAGCAGCAGCAGCAGACAGGCCTTAGCAGCAGCAGCAGCAGACAGGCCTTAGCAGCAGCAGCAGCAGACAGGCCTTAGCAGCAGCAGCAGCAGACAGGCCTTAGCAGCAGCAGCAGCAGACAGGCCACGCACAGAGGTACTTGTCCACGTCAAGGGGAGCCTCGTCATCCTTGAAGTTGCAGGGTGCTTTTGAAAATCCTCAAAAGCACTCTTTGAAATATCTAAAAAACACTTGTATTAGACACGAGCTGCAACCACAAGGCCACGTACAGAGGTACTTGTCCACGTCAAGGGGAGCCTCGTCATCCTTAGCACCAGCCTCAGCTGCATCCTCGTTAGAAGCGTCCTCGCTAGCAGCACCTGACTCAATCCCACGACCTTCAGCAGCAGCAGCAGCAGCAGAAGCGTCACCATCACCTCCCGCAACACCTCCGGAAGCTTCACCGTTACTTCTCCTGCCATCTACGCTGATAGCGCCGTCTCCGCGATTCGCGCTCAATTGACCGTTGCCTTCAGTCGAACCGCTTCTTGATCCGGCGATTGGTAGATCCGCAACAGGAAAAGCAGCATCTTTCCGTATCCTAGCCTCATGCCGACTCGCAATCCGTCTACCGGCAAACACCGCGATAGACAAAGCAGTTACGAACACGAGAACCACTGAAAACGCTGAGCGAAACGACACGCCCGTTCTCCCGCTCTTTTCCCTCCCTGATTGCAGCGACGAGCCTTGACTCCCTCCCCCTCCTCCGTCCCCTCTCGAATCTGCCGAACCTGCGCCGCCGGCTCGGCCATGCCGCGACAAGGCGGATTGAGGCTTGGAGGCCTTGACGACGGAGGCTTGGGAAGAATCGGAAATTCGGGAGTCCTTCTTGCGCGGCTGCATGGAATTATAACGCGACTGACCGAGTGATTAGTCGGCTAAATTATGGTTAAATACGGAACGGAGGGGAGCATGGAGAAAATGAGTGGGCGTAACGATGAGCGAAGCCTGTTGAGTTGAGAATGGAGAAAAGTAGCAGAAGCCTCGAAGGGAGAGCGTGATGGCCGTTGGCACAGGGTCAAAAGTTAGTTCCGTTGCCGGGACTTGAACCTGGGTCTCTCGGGTGAGAGCTAAGTATCCTAACCGCTTTATTTACAATTTATATGTGTACAAAAGAACAGAACGGATTTGAGCATCAAGAGGCTACCTAGCTAGCAATGGCCCAACTCCAATCCTAGGTTGAGACCCCCAATGAGGTCTCAAGAACCAACACCAAGGTACGCAAAGTCAGCCAAGGAGGGTGGGGTGGGATCTGGTGGGGCGGAGGGTGTGTCAACACTGTAACGAATTTGTGTCCGACGGCAGATGGTTCGAGCCTGCTCACGCTGGTGCACCAAGGAAATCCTCTTGAAGTAGCTAGTCTCGAAGAGCTCTGGAATCAGGTCAGATGCACCACCCATGTCACGAAGTCGAGTCGCCCCTCGTCTGCTGCAGTCTTTGATGAAGCTGAGAAATGCCGAGCTGAAGCAACCGAAGGTTTCAAGAACGAGAGGAAGAAGCTTCACGTCTGGGCGGTTTTGTAAGGAAGATGCATACAGGGTCCGCTTCTCAGTTTCACGAGCAGATGCAGCTGAGCCGATTACTGATGCAGTCTTGGATTTTGGGGGACCATGCTGCGGGTCTGCAACTGAAACATCTAATGCCCACGTAGTCCCAGAGCTGATATCACGGCAGCTGATGTCTGGGCGACGTCCTGAAAGAAGGTGGGAGTCCTCCAGCTGTACGACGTAACCAAGCTCGGACGTGATGCGATGAACCTCATGCTTGATGGCGTCGTGGACCCTGGTAGGCTCGTTAGAGGATGGGCAGCGGAGGACGTGAGAGACGACTGAAGGGTCTGTGAATGCCGAGCCACAAGTGCATGTGCGGGTGGTCGTGAGGTGTGGAATGGGGAGGCCAAGACGAATAGCGGCTGCAATACACCACTCCGTAGGTGACAGCTGCATATGCGAAGAACATGGAGCCACAGTAAGCCAATCGCCAGCATGGGGCCCTTGTAGGGAGGTTAAACGGGCCAAACGCGCTCGAGCATGACAGCCTCCAAGTGCTGTGAAAGGTAGGAATATAGCTTCTGTGGATAGCCAGCGTGAAGTGCGGGCCAGGTAGGGAAGTGCTGCCGAATGGTAGGATGAAGTTTGGACATGGCTGTGGGAATGCTTGGGTCAAGGCGCTCCATGGTGTCTGAAGCGATGAAGGGACGGAAAATAGGGGAGCCATGAATGGTGAAGCATGACGAGAGGAGTGAAACTGTCTGTGCCCAGCTGCACAGGTAACTGAGAGAAGCAGTTGCAGCTGAAGAACGGAGGCCGAACCCACCAAGGCGAATGGGAAGGAATGGTTGTCGGTGTGCTGTGGCAGTGTGGTCAAACGCAGGAGGCCAGTAGTCAGAGCCGATGAGGCGAGTATCCTAACCGACTAGACTACAACGGATGTCTAAGAGCAAAATATTCACATTTAGTAACATAAACTTTTAGATGAAATCAGGAATGTGGGCACCCCTTTCTTTTTCCATCTGCTAGGGTTTTAGCCCGGTCAGCCCCCAAAAAGCTTGCCGAGCCTACGAAACCGTCCGAACCAATCGGAATCGTGTGCTTGGCGAACATACACGTTTTGCAGCATGGATTTGGGCCAAAACGGAAAAACGAAGCCACAGCGCAAACTCGTGACCCAGCCATACGAGAGGTCGTGACCATTCCATCTGCATACCACCCTCTACGTGGAACTGCAAAGGAATTGCAACGGCCTGTAGGTGAGGGGTAACCAGTTAGCGCGCTTCATCAGGGCCATTAGCAAGTACGCTTACCCATATGGCCTTTCCGTTTGAGTCGTTTGGCCTTTCAGTTCGGGCCCATAAGCCCGTTCTTTTGCTAGCGATTCAACTCCCTCACACCTCCCGTTTTTTTTTGTTTCATTTTCCCTGTCAGAGGTCCACTGGTGATCCCCGATTGATCCTAGGGAAGTGTTACAGGCATGTTGGCCTGGGGGGTTATGGGCGCACTGACCCGCTACTTAACAAGCCCTTTTATCCCAATAGTCTAGTGGTTGGGATTCTGACATTCCCATAGAACCCCAGACGTCGGCCGCCCCAAAAAGTTTACGAAGCACCAGGAAAAGAGGTAGGGTGGTTCGCGATTCCGTTTCCCCCCCTCCTTGGAAGTTGCGTATTGGACGACCGTCCAAACTGTTAGAATTAGGACCTTCATGTATAGGATAGGTCTGAGTTTAGGTAGTGGAAGTCTTGAGTAGTGGTGGAACCTTGTTGCATAATGAATGTAAATGACAAGGATTTATTAAAAGAAAACATTACACACATTAAATAGATCCTAGCTAGCCATGTACTCTGAGGGGTACATTCCCATATTAACTGTAATGCATTGCTACAGTGCTAGCGATCCTTCAGTTACCTAGTTGTTGTCTGTAACTGTAGATACAGTTACGCCTGTTGCAATTCCTTCGCTGGCAACCGTTCGGTCCAGGTCAATCAACAGTCGCGACAGTTGACTCGCGACTGTTGATCTGCGTGCCCTATATGGGCTAACGCGATAGTGTTGCTGGTGTTGCTTAGGCAGTGGCTGGTGCGATACTGCCACACCTTCGGGAATGCTTAAGTAATTCTCTTCTTACTCCAACACTCCCCTTCATTCCTGAAGGTGTGCCACGTGGCTCTTCTTGACGACTCCGCACAAGTCCGCGTAGTACTGAAACTTCTGACGTGGCAGTTTTTTCGTCAGGAAGTCAGCTGCCATTCGCCAGTTGGGCAGTAGGTGAGCTGGACCTTGCCCTTGTCGATTTCGTCCTTGACGAAGAAGTAACGGAGGGCGATGCGTTTCGTGCGGTTGACGAAGCCGGGTTTGTTCGCGATCTTGATTGCGCTCTAGTTTGTTGCACAGTAACTTGAATGACCCTTTCATCGCCATTTTCGTTTCGTGTAGGAGCTCCATGAGGTAAAGGCTTTCGCGAACGGCTGCGCTTGCTGCAATGAACTCAGCTTCGGCTGACAAAAGGGCGATCAGCTCCTGCTTCTGAGAGTTCTAGGAGATGGTTCCCGCAGGTTCAAGCTTGAAAACAAATCCCGTGCGGGACCTCCTGTTGTCTACGTCCCCTGCGTGGTCAGCATCCACGTAGTTGGTAAGCTGTAGATTAGCCGTTAGGTTCGCATTGTAGGTGAGGCCGACGTCGGGAGTAGAGATGAAGTACTGTAGGGCACGTCGTAGGTCCGCCATGTTCCCCCTTTCAGATCGGCGCAGATACTGGGCGAGCTGGCTAGCGGCGTAAGATAGGTCCGTGCGACATGTGACGGCGGCGAAGAGAAGGCACTCGAGTTGCTGTTGATAGAGGCGACGATCGGCGGAGGATAGTGGAGTTGTGCCGGGCTCCTGGTTAGGCGGAGGAATGCGGAAGGGGGTGGTGAGGCTGATGGGGGCGATGCCAAATTTCTTGGCGAGCGTCTCGGCGTACTTCGCGGCGGACAGGTGGATTGTATCAGCCGACTACGTCACGTTAAAGCCCAAGACCTGAATTACTCAACGGCGGTCAACTGAGTATTTCTAGGTTCGGCGGGCTGCCAGTTGGAGGTTCGGATGGGTTGAGTGACAGGCGAAGCCTGAAAAACAGTTTGCGACTGAAAATAGTTCGCCACAAACTGTGCACTTGCTGATTGGTTGTAAGGGCGGGTCCAACTTTGTACACTCCCGTTTTTTTTCGCCATTTTTACGTCAATGGACTTGTCAAATTTGACTGTACCCCAGGGTGTACGCCTAACATTTCCTGTCCAGTTCGAGGTGTACAGTTCGGAACTATTGACGCAGTACAATAACGTTGCGAGGTACAGACCTGGGTTTAAGGGTTACCAAAAATATCGAGAGTTTTCGCAGCTGTGACGGAGGGGGGAATTCAATGGCGAAAATCGATTTGACGAAAACGGGCGTTACTTCTTGACGTGTTTGACGCGAAACGAGTTGGGAGATGAATTGACGGTGAACCTTCGGTCGTGTTTTGCACGTCCCTGGGCACGTTTCCGAAATGTTATCATGTATGTACAGTCTCGCGTCAAAATGATTTTGTACGTTAAAAGTTCAGTTACATGCCTAAATGTGGTAACTGAGCTGAAAATTAACTGTACATGTACAGAGTTGGACCCGCCCTAAAAAGCAGTCAGGCCCCCTTCTTCCCAAATTCGACAAAACAGAGAAGCAACGTGCCAGGGAAACTGGGCACGGTTTGAGTAGGCACACTTGCACTCGAACAAACATATTAGTTGCTTAGTCCTCTTCAGCAGGGCGCGACCTTAGATTCTAGAAATACGCGGAAGAGCCGTTGGGAGCGAATGTCCGTGTGGACTGTACCGGCAAAGTGCGATGTTTAGGGTGAGGATAGCAATGACCATTATCGTTACTTCAACTACGTCGTCATCGTCGTCAGGAATGTCGCGAATGGTGTCACGAGAGGAGTTGTGGTTGGGGTCTTCTTCCATGGGTGAGTGCATTTTTGCACTTGCATCATCGTGTTGTGCCTGTACTGCTTCGTATTGATCAGAATCAGTTGGAAGAATTGTTGCGGTCCTGAACTGCTCTGTAACGAGTACGAAGGGTGCCTCTCCTGTGGTTGGGTCCTCTGGTTGCTGTCCTGCCACGTCAACCTCAGCCTGATCATTTGCGTAGCTGTGCCCCCCCTGGAATATGTCGTCTGGTGCGCCTTGTGCAGTGCGGTGCTGGCGGTACAGTGGCAACATCAGCCCTTCGTAGAAGATGCAGTCACGTGAACGCGTGACTTGGTGGGTGGCGAAGTCGAGAATATTTCAAGCGTGGTACTACAGTTCGATGCCAAGGTGGATGCCCCAGCTCGCGCAATCTTCAAAATTTTCGGTCCGGGCAGTGTGGGACGGTACAGTACCATGCACAAAAAAACTCGGAGCATGTGCGTGTCCGGATTTTTGCCTGTCCACTGGTGAGGTGTTGTTGGGCAGGGCCTTTGAAGAAAGCATGTAGTGCAGTCGCACAATATGTGCCATAGCGTATGGCCAATAGATAGTTGGCACAGCTGACTGCAAAATGAGGGCTCGCATCTTTGTTGCGAGACTCTTGTTGGTCCGTTCCCCTAGTCCCTGTTGCTCGTGAGCGTAGGGGAGAGAGATCATCTGCTGGATTCCCTCTTCCGCATAGAGGTTTTTGAACTCATCTGTCGGGTACTCCAGTGCTCCGTCTGTTTGGAAGGCTTTCAGTTTCTTGCCTTCGCTCTGTGTTTTTGCCATTTTGAGCCACAGATAGACACAGTGGTAAGCGAGGTGGCGGTTGGTTATGTTTGCAGCCCAAACGAAGCGCGCGCCGGCGTCGATTAAGGCGATCGTATACTGCTCCCATTTTAATCCTTGTGCTGTAAGTACAAGGAAATTGCTGTAGACTTTATCGAGTGGTTCGTACTGCTCGGCTTCAGGGACTTTCTCAGCGAAGGGAGTGTGACGTAGTGCGGCTTCTGGGCAGACGGTGCAGTTAGGCAAGTCCTCTCTTGGCTTGAGTAGTTTTCCATTCGGGAGCAACAACACGTCTTTTGCGAATACCTATTTACATTCACTATGTAACAAGGTTCCACCACTACTGCTCAATACTTCCGCTACCTAAACTCTAGGTAGACCTATCCTATCCAAAAAGGTCCTTATTCTAACATGGTATCAGAGCAGTCAACAGTCGCGACAGCTGACTCGCGGCTGTTGACCTGCGTGCCCTATATGGGCTAACGTGATAGTGTCGCTGATGTTGCTTCGGTAGTGGCTGGTGTGATACTGCTGCACCTCCGAGAATGCTTAAGTAATTCCCTTCTTACTCCATCACAAACCTGGCCGGATGGCTCGTCGCCACCTTCCTTTTTCCATTTCCATCTCGGGACCATCGATAAGAGAGGGGCCTAGCGAACAGGGCCATTGTGTTCTCCACAATCACACGATTCCAAGAATATGCGCAGATCTGCTTGATGTTCACTTCACCAATGTTCATATTCTCAAAGATGGTATATTTTCCAGAATGAGTACAAACAAATGTATGGTCCAATGGCTTAGTGGTCTGGAAAGTAGGAGAGCTAGAAGGGAGAGTGTGCTGGCCGTTGGGAGAACAAAAGGAGATGCTCTTACTGGGTCAAAAGTCAGTTCCGTTGCCGGGACTTGAACCCGGGTCTCTCGGGTGAGAGCCGAGTATCCTAACCGACTAGACTACAACGGATATTACATTGGTGAAGATTTTGCAAATTTTGGACATATTATTTTTGTCATTTCGCAACAGTCGTTCAAGACTTCGCAAACCACGTGATCACACCATCGGAGGAACCCGATTGGTTCGTTGAGAAATGCGGCGCAGCACACGTTGGGATTGACATCGTTGGTCATCCAGATTTGTGCGCCAAGTTGAAATGTGGAAATGAGCTCGGTTTAATCAGATGTTCTGAGCGGTTCTTCGGTATAGTTTATCTGAAACACCTAGACGGGGTGGTAGAAAAAACCCGAGTTAGAAGGCTTTACGTCAAAACAGGCGTGAAGGCAGGCAATTAGCACAAAGCCACTAGTTTCGCGGCGCACGCGTGGCTGGCAGCAGTTGAACAAGCAAGGATCGCCTTAGCTGAATGTCTGTCATTAATAGTGCACAGGTGTCAATGCTGTCTTCTAGTCTCGCTCCAGCGCGAAACGCTCCGGCAATGGCGGCTACACTTGCGCAGACCACGTTATCAAAGACCTCCCTACAATCGCTAGCTGTGCCTTCCGCATTTCCCGGTCACATTGGACAGAAAAATATCTTCAAGAAGTCTGAAGCATGCTCCCTGTCCACATCCTGGTTCGGTCAGAATTTGCGAGCTCCTATTGGTCGAGCCAGTTCGGGGAGGAATGGCTGTTTCCGGATTGGCGGAGCCGCGGGAGTGCGAGCCGTGGCTACGACGGGGCGATCGGCGGCTGATCGCATTGGTTCGAACGAAATGCCGAGTAAGCCGAGCAGCACGTAGTGTGTGGTGCAGTGCGGTATGATGCGATGCCTTATGTTCCAGTACGGTGGTGTTCAGTTTAAAACGGTGACGGTAGAAAACGTCGTAACGGCCGGTGTCACGCTGGAGTGCTTGGCAGCGGCGGCTAGAACGATTCAGCATTCTTCGCATTCTTCAATCCCGTGTTTCGCACATTCACCCTTTTTCGATGTGCGGTCCTTTAGATGCTTTTACTGCCTCGCCGTCGTGCTGCGGACGAGGCGTTTTTTGCGTCGACTCACAAGTAATTTATCTCACATTCGGCCTCTTCCGGTCTGTGATCCTTCATTTCTGCCGTACCCTTACCTGCCTTACCTTCTTGTTTCAGACGAGGAGGCGTTCCTCCGTGCGGTCTCCGCGGGTAGCAACGTGATCCCCATTTCCCGCCGCATTTTCAGCGACCATCTGACTCCTGTCCTCGCTTACCGCTGCCTCGTTAAGGAGGACGACCGCGACGCCCCAAGCTTCCTCTTCGAGTCTGTCGAAACCGCCAACGACGGCCGGGCGAGATCCGTAAGTGGCGCTTTACTAAGTAAATTACTTACAAGGTGATAACATTCGTGTGGGGTGTTTTACTGAGTAAATAGCCCACGGGTGTTGTATTCCACCCATCGAAACAAACCAGCGAGAAGGCAGGAAAGAGCAGTGGGTTTTGAATCGTAAAACCCCAAACCCTGCTGAGAGCAAAGCACCCCTGCCACCTGGATGACATGCCCATCAGCTTTCTCCATTGCACTTTTCAATAAAAGGAAGTGAACCAGAGCAGCAGAGCACAGCCAACCTTGAGGGACCGTCTATTCTCATCTCAGGCACCTCTTTTACCTGTCGCTCCTTACTTGCCTCTCTCATCCTCCCTCCATCCCTGCTCTCCTCTCCTCACCCCCCGAGCACTTGGTCCTCTCCTCTCCTTCCTGAATCTCAAGTTCAAGGGAAGTGCACTGCACTTTCAACTTGAAAGTACAGGTTGTGGATTTACTTAGAGTTGTTCGGAGCACCTCACCTCACTTACCCAGTCTTTCGATTGTTTCAGATGCTTGGGTGGACGCAACGCGGGCCGCACCGGAGGTGATGGCGAGGGGGGAGGGGAGGGGTAGGGCGGGGCTAGCACGTCTCTTGCCCTGTGATTCGCTTCTCTTCTTGCATCCCCTTCGTCCCCTCAGGGTCGCTACTCCTACGTGGGAGCGCAGCCAGCTCTGGAGGTGGTGGCGAGGGGGATGGGTTGCTCTCGTATCCCTTCTTTGCTTGCCTTGTATCCTCCTTTTCCTCTCTTCGCCCCAGGGTCGCTACTCGTACGTGGGAGCGCAGCCAGTGCTAGAGGTGGTGGCGAGGGGGGAGGAGGCCGGATGGGGCTAGCATCTCTTTCCAGCATCTCCCTCATCCTTATCGCTCCTCCTCTTTCCCTCCTCCCACCACCAGGGTCGCTACTCGTACGTGGGCGCGCAGCCAGCGCTGGAGGTGGTGGCGAGGGGGGAAGGGTTGGGGTTCTGAGGTCTCATTTCCTCTCTTATCCCCATCTTCTGGTTCCCCTATTCTCTTATTCCCTCCAGGGTCGCTACTCGTACGTGGGAGCGCAGCCAGCGCTGGAGGTGGTGGCGAGGGGGGTGGGCCCAGTGTCAGTGGTGAACCATGACCTTGGGAAGAGGGAGACGATCGAGGGCAAGGACCCGCTGCAGGTGAGGCAGAGACTGGGGTATAATCGTGGGTGTGTGGGTGACAGCCAGCACTGGAGGTGGTGGCCAGGGGAGTGGGCCCAGTGTTGGTGGTGGTGAACCACGACCTTGGGAAGACGGAGACGATCGAGGGCAAGGACCCGCTGCAGGTGAGGCAGAGACTGGGGTATAATCGTGGGTGTGTGGGTGACAGCCGGCACTGGAGGTGGTGGCGAGGGGGGTGGGCCCAGTGTCGGTTCGGTGGTGAACCACGACCTTGGGAAGACGGAGATGATCGAGGGCAAGGACCCGCTGCAGGTGAGGGCCGTGAGGGACAGACGAGGCGCAGACTGGGTGGAGGTATGTGTGTGTGTGGGGGGTTGGGGCGGGGGGAGCTGGTAACCGCACCCGTCAACACACGCATGCACCCATGCAAGGGGGACACACTTTGTGACACTGTTTGTGACTTCATCTTAAGAGTCTGTCTGTAATGTTGCTCTCACCCCCCACCCATGTCGCCTCGCCACCACCAGGTGGTACAGGGCCTCTTGGCCACCTGGAAGCCTGCTGCCAGTGAGTCTCTGCCTTGAAGCTGTTTGCTTGAGGCGATTTTTGAGGCAACTCAAAACCCGCCCATTCCCCCTGTCCGCCCTCACCCTACCCATGCGGTCGCCAGGTGGTGCAGGACCACTCGGCCACCTGGAAGCAAGCTGCCAGTTAGTGGCTCAGCCTTGAAGTTGCTTCCTTGACTGTCTGACTGACTGACTCAACCCCATCCTTCTGTCCGCCCTCGCCCTACCTATGGCGTCACCAGGTGGTGCAGGACCTCTCGGCCACCTGGAAGCCAGCTGCCTGCGACTCTCTGCCCAACTCCTTCTGCGGTCAGTGCTGCTGCCAGTCGTTTTGCAACGGGTGCATGCTCTTTCTCCCTCTCTACTCGCAGGCTCTCTCTCTCCCTCTGCTTGCCATACTCATGTCACCATACGCTCCCACCCATCCTCCTCCTCCCCTTCCTCTCTCCCTCTGCTTGCTCACTGCCCTCTCTCCTCTATCCCCAGTCGGCTGGGTGGGGTACATGTGATATGACTCGGTGCCCAATGTCGAGTCCAAGAAGCTTGAAGGGATGATCTGTTGCCCTTCGTCCCCCCCACCGGTCTTTGATTGATCCACCCTCGAAATTCTATCACACCAGGTGGCTGGGTGGGGTACACGTCATACGACTCGGTGCGCTATGTGGAGTCCATGACGAAGTGAAATGCTCCCCTTCTTTCTGTCTCCCTTCCTCTCCCCACTGCCCCTCTTCCCCCGCCCTTCTCTGTCACCAGGTGGCTGGGTGGGGTACACGTCATACGACTCGGTGCGCTATGTGGAGTCCAAGAAGCTTCCTTTCTCCTCTGCACCAATGGATGATCGCCACCTGCCAGACGTGCACCTGAGCCTGTACAACGATGTGGTGGTGTTCGACCATGTCACCAAGGTGTGCAGTGCGGTGCGGTGCTTTGCTGCACTGTATGGTTGTTTTTTTTAGGCGCCTCAGACAGAGAGCCACCTGCCAGAGGTGGCTTTTGACCATGTCACCAAGGTCTGGGATGCGGTGCTGTGCTGTTTGGAATGGTTCCTGATGCGCCACAGAAAGCCACCTGACAGACAGATGTGCATCTGAGCTTGTACAACGACGTGGTGGTGTTTGACCATGTCACCAAGGTGTGATATGCTGTGCCCTGGTTCCCTTACCCCCTTGACTTCCTCCTTTCCCACCCCTTCCCACCTCTTGTCACCCCTCTCCACCGCTCTCCACCCCTTGCAGATAGTGCACGTGGTGTGCTGGGTGCACGTGGACGACTACCCCTCCGCCTTGACGCCTTCTGGTCGGGCCTCTGGTGCTCGTACCCACTTGCTCTCCCCCCTGCGCCCACCTCCACCCCTCTCCACCCCTTGCAGATAATGCACGTGGTGTGCTGGGTGCACGTAGATGACTACCCCTCCGCCTCGGACGCCTTCTGGTCAGGTCCCTGGTGCTCTTCTCCAGTTGTTCTCCCCACCACCCACTCCTTCCCACCCCTCTGCACCACTTTCCATCCCTTTCTATCCTTCTCCACCCCATCCCACCCCACCCCACCCCTTGCAGATAGTGCACGTGGTGTGCTGGGTGCACGTAGACGACTACCCCTCCGCCTCTGACGCATTCTCGTCGGGCCTCTCCCGCCTCTCCACTCTAGTCGACTGCCTGCAGCCCGCTTCAGCGTGAGTTTGAGTTTCAAGTCAGCGCTGGTTCTGAGCAGAATGAAGCACCAAGTATTGACATGACAGACACCATGGCACCTGCTTGGTGCCTCTATTGGTCTCTCCCTCCCGCCTCTCCACGCTTGTGGACTGCTTGCAGCCCGCCTCCGCGTGAGTTCCGATTTTTAGACATCTTGACACTCTACCCGACCAGCCACCCAGCCACACAATGATTCCCCAAGAAGAACACTCCTTCTCCCCTCTTCCTCCCCTCCCCTCTTCCCCCCGTTCCCCCACTCTCCCAGCCCCGTGCTGCCGGCAGGTTCAGTGAATCTGGACACGAGGCAGCAGGGCCCGCCCGCTCAGTCCACGATGACGCGGGAGCAGTTTGAGGCGGCGGTGCTGTCTTCAAAGGAGAACATCCTGGCGGGGGACATTTTTCAGATCGTGCTCAGCCAGAGGTTCGAGAGAAGGACCTTTGCGGATCCGTTTGAGGTGTACCGGGCTCTGAGGATCGTCAACCCCAGCCCTTATCTGGCTTACCTGCAGGTGTGCCTAAAAAATCGCAGAAAACAGAAAGTAAAAGGAAGAAAACCAGGGTTGTTGTGGTCTGGGTGTGGCTTGGGCTAGAGGGAGCAGTGGGAGCAGTTTGAGGCGGCGGTGCTGTCTTCAAAGGAGAACATCCTGGCGGGGGACATTTTTCAGATCGTGCTCAGCCAGAGGTTCGAGAGAAGGACCTTTGCGGATCCGTTTGAGGTGTATCGGGCGCTCAGGATCGTCAACCCCAGCCCTTATTTAACCTACCTGCAGGTACGGCGAAATTAAAGGAAAAGAATGTAGGGCTGGGCTAGAATGTGGACTTTGTGCAGCTTGGGGCAGGGCAGCAGCAGTGGGAGGGGAGCAGTTTGAGTTGAGGCGGCGGTGCTGGAGTGGAGTCCAAGGCGCACATCCTAGCAGGGGATATCTTCCAGATTGTGCTCAGCTCAGCCAGCGGTTTGAACGGCAGACCTTTGCGGATCCGTTTGAGGTGTACCGGGCTCTGAGGATCGTCAACCCTAGCCCGTACCTGGCTTACCTGCAGGTATGCTCCCAAGAAGAGCAAACGAAACGAAAACAGCATCCGAAATCCAGGGTTGGTGTGTCTTGGTGTCTTGGTTTGGCTTGGGCTAGAGGGAGCAGTTGGAGCAGTGAGAGCAGTGAGAGCAGTTTGAGGCAGCGGTGCTGGAGTCTAAGGAGCACATCCTAACAGGGGATATCTTGTCTTCCAGATCGTGCTCAGCTCAGCCAGCGGTTTGAACGGGCCGGGCACCGTGCAGAATGCTCAGAGTAGACCTTTGAGGAAGATGCTCAGACTTGACCTTTGAGGCAAATGCGTGTGTGCAGCTGTGTGTGCGGGCAGTTCACCATGCCAACCCAAACAATGTGTTTGCTTGTGCTCCCCTCTGCCTGTCTGTGCTAACCTGTGCCTGTGCTCCCCTCTGCCTGTGCTCCCCTCTGCCTGTGCTCCCCTCTGCCTGTGCTCCCCTCTGCATGTGCTCCCCTCTGCATGTGCTCCCCTCTGTCTGTGCTCCCCTCTGCCTGTGCTCCCCTCTGCCTGTGCTCCCCTCTGCCTGTGCTCCCCTCTGTCTGTGCTCCCCTCTGCCTGTGCTCCCCTCTGCCTGTGCTCCCCTCTGCCTGTGCTCCCCTCTGCCTGTGCTCCCCTCTGCCTGTGCTCCCCTCTGCCTGTGCTCCCCTCTGCCTGTGCTCCCCTCTGCCTGTGCTCCCCTCTGCCTGTGCTCCCCTCTGCCTGTGCTCCCCTCTGCCTGTGCTCCCCTCTGCCTGTGCTCCCCTCTGCCTGTGCTCCCCTCTGTCTGTGCTCCCCTCTGCCTGTGCTCCCCTCTGCCTGTGCTCCCCTCTGCCTGTGCTCCCCTCTGCCTGTGCTCCCCTCTGCCTGTGCTCCCCTCTGCCTGTGCTCCCCTCTGCCTGTGCTCCCCTCTGCCTGTGCTCCCCTCTGCCTGTGCTCCCCTCTGCCTGTGCTCCCCTCTGCCTGTGCTCCCCTCTGTCTGTGCTCCCCTCTGCCTGTGCTCCCCTCTGCCTGTGCTCCCCTCTGCCTGTGCTCCCCTCTGTCTGTGCTCCCCTCTGTCTGTGCTCCCCTTTGCCACCTGGCAGGCACGTGGCTCCATCCTAGTGGCTTCAAGTCCTGAAATCCTCTGCCGAATCTCAGGCTCGGTAAGTCTCCAGCCTGTTTTAGCTTCAGGCTCGGTAAGTCCAGCCCAGCCCCTCTTTTTTGCAGGCTTGTTTGCGTATATCTGTACAGAGAAGTTGGATATGCTTCACATACGAGAAGGAAGATCCACCTGCTCACTCACTCACCCTGTGCCCACACACATTCTCCCCCTTTGTCTAATCCATCGTCATCCCGCGTTACAGACTGTGGTGAACCGGCCGCTAGCGGGGACGAGGAGGAGGGGGCAGACGGCAGAGGAGGACTTGGCTCTGGAAGAGGATCTCCTGGCGGATGAGAAGGAGGTGGCTGAGCATGTCATGCTCGTGGACCTGGGGCGGAACGATGTGGGGAAGGTGAGATACGGGGAAGGTGCCTTCTGGAAGGGTGTATTAGAGGCCCCTGAAGCGAGAAGCTATGAAGCATGTGATGCTGGTGGACATGGGGAGGAATGATGTGGGAAAGGTGAGATGTGGGGAAGGGGTAAGCTGAGACCAAGGGGAGTGTACGTATGGAAAGTGGCATTCAAAATGCATCGGATGACAAGGAGGTGGCTGAGCAGAGCATGTCATGCTGGTGTGGTGGACCTGGAGCGGAATGATGTGGGAAAGGTAGGAACTGCTCAAGTTGGCATAATCACTGTCCCCTTGGACTTGCGTCGGATGACAAGGAGGTGGCTGAGCAGAGCATGTCATGCTGGTGGACCTGTGGAGGAACGACGAGTTTAAGGTGAGATGTGGTGAAGGTACAACCTGAGAAGGAGATGGACATGGCGACTGACTGAAGCATCTCATTAACTGAGGAGGTGCTGTCATGGGAGGAATTATGGGAGGAATTATGGGAGGAATTATGGGAGGAATTATGGGAGGAATTATGCTGGGGCAGCCCATGCTCTTAATGCATCCCATGCTTTACCTTGCCATGCCCTCCCACACCATGCCATGCCATTCCACATCATGCCTACCATACCATCCCACACGACGCCATGCGGTGCCTTGCCTTGCCTTCCCATGCCATGCCATCTTCCGCTTCACAATCCCATGCCACACCATGCCACACCATGCCACACCATGCCACACCATGCCACACCATGCCACACCATCCCACACCATGCCACACCATGCCACACCGTGCCACACCATCCCACACCATGCCACACCATGCCACACCGTGCCACACCATCCCACACCATCCATGCATGCAGGGGTCGGTGGCGGGGTCAGTGGTGGTGCTGAAGCTGATGGAGGTTCTATGAAGCAGGTCAAGCTCTCATTGTATTCCATCCCACACCCACTCCATGCCATGCCATGCCATGCCATGCCACACCATGCATGCAGGTGTCGGTGGCGGGGTCAGTGGTGGTGGAGAAGCTAATGGAGGTGGAGCGATACTCGCATGTCATGCACATCAGCAGCACGGTACATACGGCCACCATTTGTAATTGCATCAGCTGCACTGAAGATTCTTGTGGGGGTTCCACCACTGCAATGAGCTGCACTGAAGATTCTTGTGGGGATTCCACCATTGCAACGAGCTGAAGCCCCCCAAGTTCCAGTGCTGCATTGTGATGTGATGTGATGTGATCCCTTGCCTCCTCTGCCCGCCCCTGGGGATTCATGCAATTCGCTCACCTTCTCCACTACACTCTCCCGGGGCTTCACGCATTCAACCATTGCCTTCTCATCCTTGCATTCGCACACTCTTTCTGCTTTTCTCTCTCCCTCTCTCACCCTTGAGAGAATCCCCAGAGTGACTCAGGTATAGACTTTTGAGGCGCCTCAAAAAAACACTCGTTCTGCTTTTCTCTCTCCCTCTCTCACCCTTGAGAGAATCCCCGGAGTGACTCAGGTATAGCTGGCTTCCGCTTGCTGCGGTTCGAGCCCTTTTTCAACTCGGCACATTTCACGAGGCAGCTTCTCCCCCACCTCTGCTACTGGGTCGCCCGCCCTGCGTGCCGCCTTTTCAACCCTTCTGCCCCCTTCTTTCCCGTCTAACCCCCCACAGTCCCCCCTCATTCCGTCCACTTGCTGTGCAGGTCACGGGGCAGCTCCCCTCCCACCTCACCTGCTGGGACGCCCAGCGTGCCACGCACTTTCCCCTTGATTTTGTCCCCTCGACCCCTCTCCACCACCCTCCACCACCCTCTAACCCTCTTGCTTCCACCAACAGGTCACGGGCCGCTTTTCCCCCACCTCACCTGCTGGAACGCCCTGCTTTCCACCCACTTCCCTGTATTGTCTCTTCTTCCCCTCCCCATCCCTCTCCACCCCTCTCCACCCCTCTCCACTTCTCTCCACCTCTCTCCCACCCCCCTCCACCTCTCTCCACTCCTCTCCACCCATTCGCAGGTCACGGGGAAGCTGCTCCCGCAACTCACCTGCTGGGACGCTCTGCGTGCCGCCCTCCCTGTGGGCACCGTCAGTGGCGCACCAAAGGTGCGAGCAATGGAGTTGATAGACGAGTTGGAGGTGACTCGCCGAGGCCCCTACGCGGGGGGCATTGGGTACGTGTCGTTCGCTGGCAACATGGATTTCGCCCTCGCCCTCCGCACCATGGTCTTCCCCACCTCTTCTGCTAGCCGCTCCGACACCCTCTTTGCTTACAACAGCAGCAGTGGTAGTAACAGTGGCAGTGGCAAGGGTGGTGGGGCAGGGGCGGGGTTGAAGCGGCGGCAGGAGTGGGTGGTGCATGTGCAGGCGGGGGCGGGCGTGGTGGCGGACAGTGTGCCGGCAGCGGAGTGGCAGGAGACAGTCAACAAGGCTGCTGCTCTCGGCCGCGCCATCGACCTCGCTGAGTCCGCCTTTGTGCACGCTGACAGGGAGTAGGGGGCAGCAGCAGCAGCAGCAGGGGTAGCAGGAGCGGGAGTAGCAGCAGCAGTGGTGGCAGTGGGAGGGGCGGTGGGGCAGGGATGGGGCTGAGGAGGCAGCAGGAGTGGGTGGTGCATGTGCAGGCGAGGGCGGGCGTGGTGGCGGACAGTGTGCCGGCAGCGGAGTGGCAGGAGACGGTCAACAAGGCTGCTGCTCTCGGCCGCGCCATCGACCTCGCTGAGTCCGCCTTTGTACACGCTGACAGGGAGAAAGGTAGGGGGTTGCAGCAGGGGGGGTAACAGCAGCAGCAGCAGCAGCATCAGCTGTGTTATCGACCTTGCTGAGACCGCGTTTGTGCACGCTCACAGGGAGTAGGGGATAGTAGCAGCAGAGCGAGTAGCAGAGGTAATGGCAGTTGCAGTAGTGTGTGCATGTGTAGGCGTTAAATGCGGTACCATAGTATTTTTGTAGGTCATCACCAGAGCATGAAACATTGTTCTTAACAAACTTGGTAACATAAGAATGATAATTGAAACAAGCCAATCGCCATCCAGCATTCTTGAACACAGCCCATTGTGACAGGTGGTGTCAATGGTAATAAAATCGTACATGTTTGGGATTCCAACCAATCCAAGCTATCGTACCATAACGATCACAGAAATGTAAAAAACTGCATCTTCATGCCTGCGCACAGGTACTGGTACCTGTATTAACACTATGTACACTAGCAGGCATACGGTAATCAACACCAGCTAAATGAACAAATCAAGATCCCCCAAGCCAACTAAACTACATCTCTGACTGACTGCTTGCTGTGCAAACACCACAAGATGCCAGATGTGCCAGATGTGTACCCAGAGGAGCTCAGCTGCTGTGGCTGGAGGTGCGGATTCAGAGGCGCCTCAGAAATCGCTCTGTGCAGATTAGCAGAGTGCGAATGTGCCGGATGTGTACCCAGAGGAGCTCAGCTGCTGTGGCTGGAGCTCCAGCTTTTGAAATGGGCTGCAGGGGAGGTGCCAAGGTGATGTGATGAGATGAGAGCAGGAAGAAAAGGAAAGAGAAGGAGGAGAGCGAGGCTGAAGCTGTCACATCACATCCAATTCTTGCTAAGGACCTCATACCTTGTAAGCCATCTCAACTCAACATCTTCTGTGGAAGCAGCACACAACTCAAGCCAGTAATTCAAGACGAAGGACAAGTCAAACCAATTCACCGCAGTTACCCCATTCGAATCACCTGCTGCTGGGATCGTAGTAGTAGCCTGTGACACTCCCGTCCTCCCAATTGAAGGACACATAGTAAAAGCCTTTTGAGCCAACTCAAATTCCAAACCTTATAATCACCTGCTGCTGGGATCGTAGTAGTAGCCTGTGACACTCCCGTCCTCCCGATTGAAGCACACATAGTAGAAGCCTGCTATGGTGAGCCCACAGTCCGGGCCCACGTTCACAAAGAACTTCTCCTTCCACCGCTGTGGCGAGCACACAGGAAGCAGTGAAGTGGGAGGGGTGTGAAAGAGATGGAGGCATGTTCACAAGAAATTCTCCTTCCACCGTTGTGCATGGGAAGCAATGAAAGGGGAGGGGAGTGAAAGAGATGGAGCAACCTTCACACAGGGAGGTGAAGGGAGACGTGTGGCTGGGGAGAATGGGAGCGGACGTGAGGTTGGGGGAGGGGAAAGGAGGGAATTAACGACATCGAAGAGAAGTGGAGGGCGGAATGAATACAGCGGAGAGACGGAGCACTGCTGTCCGATAGATCATGGCGAGAACGAGTCAGGTGAAGAACTGATGCAAATGACACATCATGGAAGGTGGGTGATGAGAATTGGTTTCACGCATACCATGAAGATGTAGGGGAATGTTGACAGATCTATGGATCGAGCTCCGTCCTTGAGTGCTGCTTCCTGCCACGTAAGAGCAACAGCAGTGCTTTTATATTACTATGACTGAAGTGACAATGACAACACGACAGCATGTTCAGACTCTGTCTTCCATATCCCAAACTGCCTGTACCAATACCCGCATACATACAAAGGACCATTTGGATGGTTGGCGTCATAGATGTGAGGTGTTCAAACCAGGTGCTGTTTTGCTGATAGTAGTGGTCAACTGAGCTGAGCCAAGCAAAAAGGTTTCAACTCCAGCAAATCACAATCACGGCCCCCATCCCCTTCCACCTCCCCCTCCTAGAAAAAAAGCAACATTGAAACGTTAACGAAGGCAGGGAGGGAGTATCACACCTTGAGCTGCGGAAAGCACGGGAAGCGAGACCAGTGTTTGATGTCAGTTTCACGACTGGCAGAAGGGAACATGACATTAAGAGGGAAGAAGCAAATGATACCAGTGCCTGCTTATTACGACAGTTCGATCAACGTCCGATGCTAACAATGCTACCTACTCACGTCAGCTGCGGGCATGCTTACTTCCAAAGTTTTGTGGAAGAAAACCAAGTTCCGCTGGGTCGATACTATTGAAGGGAAGGTGGTCAAAGAACCACCGTGACATCTCATCAGCATGTTGTCAACATGTCATCATCAGCATGTCCTGAGCATGCCATCAGCGTCTTAGTACCATCTCAACACCAACCGGTAACAGCAGTTGGCAGCACTCACGTGGCATCCCACAGGCTAGTGAAGGAGTAGATCTTGCTGTCCACAATCTCTCCGTCTCAAACCGAGGTGACTTTCGAGTCGACTCAAAAGTAAACTTAAAAGACTACTCAAGAGTCACATTTTGAGTCGACTCAGAATACTTACGTGGCGTCCCATTGGCCGGTGAAGAAGGAGTAGTTCTTGCCGTCCACAATCTCCCCGTCCCAAAAGGTAACCACCTGCACCCAGAGAGTGGTGGGTGTTGGTGGCTCTAGGTTCAGTGATTTTCAAGATGCACACGTAGGTGTACTACGTACAATACAGCACACCCATCTTTTGTCCCAAACGCCAACAATTCCCTCTACCCCCGCTCCCCTCCCTCCCGCCCCATTGAGTTATATATTTTTAAACCACCCTGATTGGAAGCACGAATTTGCTGCGACCGTTAACTCGTTCTGTCTCAAGCCATGTCACGTCCAGCTTACCGAGGTGTCAGTGGAGGGAACGTTAAGAGCCTCCATGGATCCGCACAGGTACCCTCTCCGCATGTCGCACTGTTGGATGCGCACCGTCACCCGCCAAGCCTCATCCCGCTCCATGCCTGATAACGGCGGAGAAGAGTCGCCCGGGGAAGATGAGGACGACACGTTCTGCGTCCCCACAAACGCCTGGATGTGTAGTGGAACGGAAGGAAAGGGGACGCGCGGGGCAACGAAGAGTGAGGGATGCTGCGGTGGGACAATGTTGGAGGGAGCTTACACAAGTTGATTATTTCGAGGCGGGTCATGGTGGCTGGATTGCTGGTAGCCGGAGAAAAAGGAAAGGAAGTCTCGAAAAGCGGGTTGCACGACAACGATACATTAATCGCGGGCAGCTGCAGGGAGCTGAACATAGAACGAAATACGACGCACCTGTCCTGGTTCTAAGAATGAAGAAGTTGAACTAAATGGAGAATCCTCGTCGTCCACACCCTCGTACTGTTCTTCCCAAGCCTCTATATCCTCATCCCCTAACTCTCGCTCGTTTATTGTCGCTGGACACGGGTTCGGGTCGCACACAGGTAGCTGTGCCTGTTCCTCCGAGTCCCGTGGAACGCGCGAGGGACTACCCATTTCCTCGCCAAACGCCATGAAACACAAACCATTTGCCAATTGCCACTAGTGTCGATGCTTTGGCACAAAAGCTCTTGTTGCGTTATGGTTTCGATTCACATACGCGCTTTTGTCTGTACTGGTATGTGCAAAACGTGTAACGAGTGATACTGAAATTAGCTAACACATACCGTACTACATACACACAACTTATCAAGGTACCGTACATTGAAACACAAACTTGAAAATAGGTAACTGGCTGCTTGGTATTTTCACTGGGCTCGAGTTCTTCCGGTTGAGAATCACAGACGGTCAATTGTAATCCCGTTGGTGGGCCTGTGAAGCTTCAACAATTCCTGTGACTCTGCAAGGTACAAAGCCAAGTTTAGGCACTGTTTCAAAGTAAGGCACGCACAGTACCTCTGGCGAGCCTCCAGCTGCCCAACGTAGTTTACTCTAACATTTCAACAATCCTCTCCAGGATGGCTTCACTAAGGAAGCAGTATAAGCTACCCTTTGTCCTCTAACCTGAAACCTTGAGCACAGCTGCAGCATCTGTCGATGAAAGCCTTTTGCTGCAATATCCCTCCCATGGTTCGGATGTCTCCTGGCCTTCCGCAGCAGCATCTTCCATAGCAACATATAGGGAATGAAGGTACACTGCAAGCTTCCGAGCTGCTTCCCGTCCCTCTGGGGCCTGGTCCTTCATCTGAGTTGCGGCAATCTTTAGAAGCACATCCAGTCCAATAACCTTGACCTGATCCGTATTCTGTAACACAGGACAACAGGATGTAAGTTGACTCGAACAGGTAGGAAAGAAACGGAGAGCAGGCATGGAGCACGGGAACTGTCTCACCAGACGCACTGCCGCTTGGTATGCGTAAATCATAGCCTTTGACCGGACTCTCGGACTCTTATGAGCGATGCACGGTTGGACTGCTTTGAAGGTGACTTCCGGATTGAGAGTTGATGTCATTGTGGAAAGAGCACGGTCGACGGCTTCAACCATGAACTTATTATCTTGCGAAGCTTGAATAAGCAACGGTTGCATCTGCAAAGCAAATGTCGTCAAACATGAAACCCCTGGTAAAAAAAAAGGACGATGGCTACTCTGTGATTAACGTACCAAGGATTCAAGCGACCCTTCCATGCACGTCGTGTTGAATCTAAACAGGTCCTCAAAAGTCATCCATAAAGTCTTTCTGAGAACACTTCTGGGATTCTTCAGAGACTTCAACATGGAATCATAATAGGATTCACTGCAGACGCCAGCATATGTCAAATAGGTTAGGCTTCCGCGACGCTTCAGGCAAGTTAAAAATCACTAACAAACGAAAAAGGGATAAGATTTTCCAACCACATACAGTCGTTCGTTAAGGCGTTCGCTGTTGAACTTCGCAACCCTCCGGAGTTCGATAAGCCCCTCGCAAACCACGAACCAGTCTTTCGAATCAAGCTTCGCCCCAAGACCCTGCAAGCGAGAAAACATCACCAATCAATCTTCGCATTTGCAACTGATCCCAATGCTGGCGACGTGCTAGCTAACTTACGGAAAGGACGCTCTCCAAATCTTCAACAGGCTGAAGTTCCTCAGTTGGAACATACTGAACCTCGACGGTTGCAACAACCTCTTCAGCCATAGCCCTAGGTAAAGAAAATGATTATCTGCGCAGTGTTAGGGCGAGAAGATACTTGACCCGAGCGAGTGAAAGTACGGGATTTCACAGTGGCTGGTCGTGTGTGATGCAGGAAACTATTGTGGGCTTGTTGCTGTCTGCAAATAGCATTGTCTTCCTGAATCCCACACACAAACACCACCCTGCAAGCTTTGCTCACTTGGATGGATGACCCACCCCCTGACAAACAACAGTTCCGCCCCCCAGGAAGCTCCGCTCCCCTTCGTTGATCATCCATGGTGGTGATGCGAGGCGAATCACCGTTGGATTGGCAGGCGGCTCGACTCTCTGACACACCTACATCGCTGTCAGATTCGATACCACCAATGAGACTTTTTCAATTTGTTACTTACAGATTGCACTAGGCACAGTATTTTCATTACTACCACGTCAGCTAGATTATCTCACTAATCAGAACCAGGTCCCCCAAACTTCCTTAGAGTCAAATCAAAAGCCTAAATGTTTTCTTTCTTGTTATTCGAACGATTGGTAACAAGAGTGATCATCATTTGCCATTAAAAAGCTTCATATAATGAGATGCCTTTGATTTGCATAGATTTTTGTCCGTTTTGCCCTCACACCATCACTCTGCCACCCATCAACCATCTGCATTTGCAACTGCAACCGCCGGCTCACTTGACTTTAGTGCACTGCCATCAATATCACCATTCCCCACACAACCAGGCCGACTTGGGATGTCCCCGTTTGCCATCTGTTTCTTCCGGCGCTGCACTTCCAGGAAAATGAGCAGAGCCGTGATGTCAGCAGGGTTGACTCCGCCCAGTCTAGAGGCTTGCCCAATGGTGGCTGGCCGGATCTGCAGCAAGACAGCAGGTGGGAGTCAAAAAATGAGGGGGAATAAGAGAACATGAGTACACGTGTGTAATCATGTGCACACAAATTCCCGCAGGCGCGCGTGTTGTCCAAGCCCCATCTGTGCGTGCTCTTCCTGGCACATTACCAGAGATTGTGGGGAACGGGGACAAGCCGGCATGAAATATGATACAAGGCAGTGCACGTGCATGCACTGGTAGCATCATGACAACATGCACTGGTTACATCACTAGAATAGGGGGGGTGGAATCAGAAGAAAGAAAGCACGAAAGGCGAAAGATAGCCATGACAAGCATGTACCTTGGAGAGCTTTTCACGGGCCTCCTTGGAGATGGTGGCAATGGAGTCGTAGTCAATGTCCTCGGGAATGCGGCGGTGCTCCTTGGCTATCACCTGCTCCAGCTGCTGCTTCTGCCTCTGAATGAACCCTTCATACTTCAACTCCACCTCCACGCACTCCGCCTCCCATGCCGACACCACCGCCCCTCCCTCCCCCCACTCCCCCACCGACCCCGAACCACCTTCCGAACCACTTTCTGAACCACTCTCCGAACCACTTTCCGAACCAGAGGAGGAGGAGAGGGGGGTAGGGGCGCCCATGAGGTGGTGGTCTCTGAAGAGGCTGTAGGTGACATGAGGGCGGCGGAGGATTTGATCCAGCGTTGTGCCGTGCCGCACTGCGCCTGACAGCTCCTCTATCGCTGGGATGGCCGGGTGCGAGGCTGGGAGAGGGCCAACATAAGGGGAAACAAACGTAAGGGGAATGGTGAGCGAAATGCAGAGTGGATACAGGAATATAGAGGATCTGATTCTGTGCCGCAATGCGCCTGACAGCTCCTCTATTGCTGGGATGGCCGGGTGCGAGGCTGGGAGAGGGCCAACACAAGGGGAAACGAACGTGCGGGGAATGGTGAGCTAAATGCAGAGTGGATACAGGAATATAGAGGATTTGATTCTGTGCCGTACTGCGCCTGACAGCTGCTCAATTGCTGGGATGGCCGGGTGCAAGCGAGGCTGGCAGAGAGGGGGGTGCATGGAGAACAACGGATGGACAGTGGATGATGGACGGTGGACAACGGACAGTGGATGATGGGAGGTGGATCCCCAATGCCTGAGCCTGTCACAACTAGAGGCGTTGTTCAACTATTGAGACGCCTCAGAACCCTTACCCACCTGCCAGCTTGTACCACTTGAGTTGAGCCTCTCTTCTCAGCATTCATCCTCGCCTGCCTCGCCACAAACACGTCAAAGAACCACATGCATTTCTGATCTAATACAGGTGCGATTTCTGATCCAAAGCCCCCACGCCAACCCTACCTGCCAGCTTGTATCGCTTGAGCCTCTCTTTCTCAGCGTCCATCCTCGCCTGCCTCGCCACATACATGCCCCACCGGCACATGCTCATCTGATTTGATACACTCGTGATCTGTGCCCCCATGCCCCAACGCCAACCCTACCTGCCAGCTTGTATCGCTTCAGCCTCTCCTTCTCAGAGTCCATCCTCGCCTGCTTCGCCACATACATGCCCCACCGGCGGTCATCAATCAGCCCGATCTCGCGCCCCATGGGTGTCAGCCGCACGTCTGCATTGTCTGACCGCAGCAGCAGCCGGAACTCCGAACGGCTGGAGGGGAGGGCAAAGGCATAGGGATGGGTGGGAAAGCAGGGTAGAAGGGCGATGAAGGAGAAGAGGAGCTGAATTCACCCGGCGGTCGTCAATGAGCCCGATCTCCCGCCCCATGGGAGTCAACCGTGCATCAGCATTGTCTGATCGCAGCAGCAACCGGAACTCCCAGCGGCTGCAGCGGAGGGGGAGAGGAAGGGCGAAACTTGGGCCAGCATCAAGTAGCAAACAGTCAATCAGCCCTATCTCGCGCCGGGCCCCATGGGTGTCAGCCGTGCATCTGCATTGTCTGATCGCAGCAGCAGCCAGAACTCTGAACGGCTGCAAAAGAAGCAAGAAGAGGGCACGGAATGGGGAGGAAACAAGAGACAAGTGAGGAGAAAGATGGGTTGACTCAAGCATGCCCCCACTGACAATGAATCCGATCTCCCTCCCCATGGGAGTCAGCCGTGCATCTGCATTGTCTGGCCGCAGCAGCAGCCGGAACTCCTAGCGGCTGCAGAGCATGGGGAGAAAGAAGCATGGGGCGAAGACACGGTTAAGGTGCGATGAAGGGGAATAGCGGAGCTGATTCCCCACCGCCGGTCGTCAAGCAGTCCGCGTTTTCCAGCCGCAGCAGCAGCCGGAACTCGGAGCGGCGGCAAGCATGCGAGAGAAGAGGCACGGGGGCGAAAGAGGCGAGGCATCGGGCAAGGGAGGAGAAAGCGGTTGCCTGTCTGCTTCCATTCTCTGCTACCTGGTAGTCAGGCCAGCATGCGGAACGGCTCCCTCAAGACCTTTGAGGTGTATTTTGAGGCGCCTCAAAATACACCTCACTACATGCGGTTGCCTGTCTGCTTCCACTCTCCGCTACCTGGTAGTCAGGTCAGCATGCGGAACGGCTCCCTCAAGTCCTTTGAGGTGTATTTTGAGGTGCCTCAAAATACACCTCACTACACGCGGTTGCCTGTTTGCTTCCACTCTCCGCTACCTGGTAGTCAGGTCAGCATGCGGAACGGCTCCCTCAAGTCCTTTGAGGTGTATTTTGAGGTGCCTCAAAATACACCTCACTACACGCGGTTGCCTGTCTGCTTCCACTCTCCGCTACCTGGTAGTCAGGTCAGCATGCGGACTGGCTCCCTCAAGTCCTTTGAGGTGTATTTTGAGGTGCCTCAAAATACACCTCACTACACGCGGTTGCCTGTCTGCTTCCACTCTCCGCTACCTGGTAGTCAGGTCAGCATGCGGACTGGCTCCCTCAAGTCCTTTGTCACCCGATCATTAATCAGAGTTTCAGAGTGCCCATGTAGCTGCTCTCCCTCTCAAGCCTGGCAGCAGTCACACCAGAAATCACGCACTGCACTGTACCGCACGCACACCTTCTACCACCATACCCCACCACTGGACCTACCTGGTGAGCATGCGGTACGGCTCCCTCAGGTCCGCATCCTTGGTCACCAGGTCATCAATCAGAGTGCCCATGTAGCTGCTCTCCCTCTCAAGAAGAATCAGCACCCGCGAACCTGCTTCAACTCTCTCCCACTGCCAGAACTCCACCGTCCCTCTACTAGAAAGAACCCTACCTGGTGAGCATGCGGTACGGCTCTCTCAAATCCTTGGTCACCAGGTCATCAATAAGGGTGCCGATGTAGCTGCTCTCCCTCTCAAGCGCAATCAGCGGCTTCCCATCCGCCAGCCTGGCCGCGTTGATCCCTGCGATTAACCCCTGCAACGAGAAAGAGGCACGCATGCAAGGGACTCGGATCAACACTCATGTCCTCAATGCACCAATCGTGGCAGCACCACACCACCTTCCCGTCCGCTAGCCTGGCCGCATTTATCCCCGCAATCAGCCCCTGCAACAAAAGGGGAAGAGAACGGTTGCAAGCGGAGGAGCCGATTGTTGGGCAGAGTGAAAGCATAGACCCTGGTAGGGCCCTCAAATCCAGCATTCCCTTCAACGCGCATTCAAGGTCAACAGACATGCAGGTTTTGAGACATCTCAAAACCCATTCAAGGTTTGAGACGTCTCAAAACCGCATTCAAGGGCAACAGACATGCAGGTTTTGAGACATCTCAAAACCCATTCAAGGTTTGAGACGTCTCAAAACCGCATTCAAGGGCAACAGACATGCAGGTTTTGAGACGTCTCAAAACCCATTCAAGGTTTGAGACGTCTCAAAACCGCATTCAAGGGCAACAGACATGCAGGTTTTGAGACGTCTCAAAACCCATTCAAGGTTTGAGACGTCTCAAAACCGCATTCAAGGGCAACAGACATGCAGGTGCTGCTTCTGCGTGAAGTGAAGTGAGGCGATTATTTACGCTCCTCAGAAACAGAGTGCACACATTTGAGCACATGCATGCAGGTGCTGATGATTCTACGGTCTACCTACCCACCCAGCCACCTCGTAGCCCATGATGCCGTGCCGTTGATCTGCCCGCTGAGGAACAGCCCTTCAACCTGCTTGGTGGTCATGAGCGTGCGCACATTTGGGCTCGAACATATGTAATGCTGAAGGTGAGTATCAGCACAGGAATCCGACCCACCTGAGAGCAGCAGCCACTTCGTAGCCCGTGGTGCCGTTGATCTGCCCGCTGAAGAACAGCCCTTTCAATTTTCTTCGTCATGAGTGTGCGCTGGCACTGGTATGCCGGCAGGTAGTCATACTCCACAGCATAGGCAGGCCTCAGCATGGCATAGAGAACACGCACGCATGGCTGGAATGTGCAAGTATAAGATCTGCCTGCCTACCCACCTGAGAGCAGCAGCCTCTTCATAGCCCGTGGTGCCGTCGATCTGCCCGCTGAAAAACAGCCCTCCAACCCTCTTGGTGGTGGTGCATGAGCACACTCACACACACATCGGACCATGTGTACAAATGGAAACAAAGCAAGGGTGCATGCACACACAACCTGCCTGCCTGCCCACCTGCGCAGCAGCTTCCTCATAGCCCGTGGTGCCGTTGATCTGCCCGCTGAAGAACAGCCCTTCAATTTTCTTTGTCATGAGTGTGCGCTGGCACTGGTAGGCGGGCAAGTAGTCATACTCCACTGCATAAGCGGGTCTCAGCATGGCACAGCGCTCCAAGCCGGGGAGAGAGCGGAGAAGGGCCAGCTGCAGGCGTTCTGGTAGGCCTGTGGAGAATCCCTGATAGAATGGGAGGGAAGAGAGGCAGGCAGCACACGGGTGGATAAGCAGGCAGGCGGTCATCATTAGGTAGTCATACTCCTCTGTGTTGGTATGACTTTTGAGAATTCTCAAAAGTCATACCAATATAGCGGGTGGATAAGCAGGCGGGCATTAGGTAGTCATACTCCACTCCACTGTGTAGGCAGGTCTCAGCATGGCACAGCGCTCAAGGCTCGGGAGAGAGCGGAGTAAGGCTAGTTGAGGACGCTCAGGTAGGCCCGTGGAGAATCCCTGGAGGATGATGGGGTGCAGAGGGGTGTAGAGGGGTGTGGATGGGTAAACGAGAGAAAGATACGGCACTGGTAAGCCGGCATGTAGTCATATTCCACAGCGTATGCGGGTCTCAGCACGGCACAGCGCTCCAAGCCCGGGAGGGAGCGCAGCAGGGCTAGTTGGAGGCGCTCTGGCAGGCCCGTGGAGAACCCCTGGAGTGCAGAGGGGTGCAGAGGGATGCAGAGGAGAGAGAAAGCACTGGTAGGCTGGCAGGTAGTCGTATTCCACAGCGTATGCGGGTCTCAGTACGGCACAGCGCTCCAAGCCCGGGAGGGAGCGCAGCAGGGCTAGTTGAAGTCGTTCCGGCAGGCCCGTGGAGAATCCCTGGTACAAGGGGGGAGGGAGGGGAGAAGGACAGCAGAGAGGTGGGTAAGCAGGCAGGCAGGCAGGCAGGCAGGCTGGCAGCAGGTGGTCATACTCCATCACGGCACAATCAGGCCTTTTGAGGCGCCTCAAAAGGTGGGTAAGCAGGCAGGCAGGCAGGCAGCAGGTGGTCATACTCCATCACGGCAAAAATCATGCCTCAGTATGGCATAGCGCAGGTATGCCAGCTGCACTCACCTCCCTCCACCACCCACCCACCCACACCCACCTGCTCGTAAAGCTCTGGCACGGTTCGCCCCTCAGGGTCTGGCTTGGTTTGTTGTTCTTCACCCCCCCCCCCCCCCTCTCTCCCCTCCTCCCCCCCACTACTCACCTCCACCACCCACGCCCACCCACCCACACCACACCCGCCTGCACGTAGAGCTGTGGCTTTAAGGCGCCTCAAAAACAGCTCTGGCACGGTTCGGCCCATGGGCTCTGGCATGGTTTGTTCTTCCCTGCTCCCAAACCCCGGGCTCACGTGCAACCCCCCCCCCCCCCCCTACACCACCCAACCCAACCCACACCCACCTGCACGTAGAGCTCTGGCACACTTCGGCCCTCAGGCTCGAGGAAGATCTGGTGCGACTCCTTGTCCTTGAATCGCACTATCTGGGTGGATGCAACAAGAGGGCAGCAGGGGGCAGAGGGGGGCAGCAGGGGGCAGAGGATGACACTTGTACAGCGACGATACCAGGCTCTAGGAAGATCTGGTGTGACTCCTTGTCCTTGAAGCGCACTACCTGCGATGTGCAAACAGGGAGGCAGCAGGGGGCAGGGGAAAGGGGGCAACACGGGGCAAAGGAGGCGATCTATGAGGCGACTTGGGCATTCGGCTCTAGGAAGATCTGGGAGACTCCTTGTCCTTGAATCGCACTATCTGGATGCACAGACAGACAGGGGGGAACCAGGGACAACAGGGAGGTAGATAGAAGGGGTCCGAGGAGGCGACTTATGAGGCGACTCAGACACTGGGCACTAGGAAGATCTGGTGCGACTCCTTGTCCTTGAATCGCACTATCTGTGGGTGCAATCAAAGATAGGGAAGAGGGCAGAAGGGGGGGGGGGGGGGGGGCACGCACGGGGAAGAAAGGGGCAGCAGCGGGCAGAGGAGGGAGTCGACTTATGCGGCGAGTCGAACCAGACACCAGGCTCGAGGAACATCAGGTGTGACTCTCAAGGAATCGCACAGATAGGTCCATGAATCGCATCGCAGTATCTGTGGGGATGACACACCAGGGCAACAGGAGGTAGAAGGGGTCAGAAAAGGCGGCTTATGAGGCGACTCAGAGATTAGGCTCGATGAAGATCTGATGCACACAGCACAGCACCCACCCACCCCCTACCTCGAAATCACCTTTGAGAATTCTCCAAAGTGATTTCAATAAAGACTCAGAGATTAGGCTCGATGGAGATCTGATGCACATAGCACCCACCCCCTACCTCCCGTTCCCCCCCTCCCACCTTGTCCTCAATGCTGGGGCAGTAGCGGGGCCCCCGCCCGTCCACCCAGCCGCCATAAGTGGGCGTCTCATGCAGACCCGCTCCACCAGCCGATGGGTCTCTCTGGTCGTTCGAGTCAACCAGCAACTCATCTGCTCCCTCCTCCACACGCCCTCTCTCCCACGCACAACTCGACACACACGCACGCGCGCACGCACACACACACACATGCCACCCCCCTTCCCCCCCTTCCCCCCTCTTTCCCCCCCTCCCCCTCACCTTATCCTCAATGCTGGGGCAGTAGCGCGGGCCGCGGCCGTCCACCCAGCCGCCATAAGTGGGCGTCTCATGCAGGCTCGCCTCCACCAGCCAATGGGTCTCTTTGGTCGTGCGAGTCAACCAGCAGCTCATCTGCTCCCTCCGCCTCCACACGCAGACATGCACACACGCACGCGCGCACACACACACGCGCACACACACACACACACACACACACACACACACACACACATACCACCCGCCTTCCCCCCTCACCTTATCCTCAATACTCGGGCAGTAGCGGGGCCCACGCCTGTCCACCCAGCCGCCATACGTGGGCGTCTCATGCAGACTCGCCTGCACCAGCCGATGGGTCTCTTTGGTCGTTCGAGTCAACCAGCAGCTCATCTGCTCCCTCCGCCTCCACACGCTCTCATCAAAGCTGAACCACCGCTCCCCCACGCCGTCCCCCCCCTCAGGATCGTCCCCTGGTTGCTCTTCCAACCGGGAGAAATCGACGGTCCGGATGTCGATCCGCGGCGGCGTGCCGGTTTTTAGACGGTCGGATTCGAAGCCGAGGGAGAGGAGGTACTCTGTGAGCCCGTGGGAGGCGCCCTCGCCTGCCCGGCCTGCTGGGAGTGACTGTCTTCCCACCCAAATCCGGCCATTCATAAAGGTACCTGGATGAAGGAGGGGGATAAAGAGGGAATGGGGGGAAAGAGGTGGGATTCGGAGGCGAGGGAGGGGAGGTACTCTGTGAGGCCATGGGAGGCGCCTTCCCCTGCTCTGCCTGCTGGGAGGGATTGCCTTCCCACCCAGATGCGACCGTTCATGAATGTACCTGGAGGAAGACAGATAGCGAGGAAATGAGAGGAGAAAGGAAAGGAGATGGTGGAAAGAAGGAAGGATTCGAAGGCGAGGGAGAGGAGGTGCTCTGTGAGGCCGTGGGAGGCTCCTTCTCCTGCTCTGCCTGCTGGGAGGAAACTGTCTTCCCACCCAGATGCGATGCGACGGCTCATGAATGTACCTAATGGGAGGTGGGGGAGGGAGGGAGAGGTGGAGAAGAGAGAGAGAGAGAATTGAAGCCAGGGGAGAGAAGGGGAGTTCTGTGTTGTTGGGAGGATTCGTCTCCTGCTCGCTCTGCTGCTAGGGGAAACCTTTCGACCCAAATGCAATTCAAGTGCATGCAACCCAAACACGATACGCGGCACACTAGCCTTGCATTGCATCTATTTCCCTCCAACTCAACACCCACCTACCTGTGGTGAGTACCACTGCCTTGGCGAGAAAGTCGACCCTAAAATGAGTCCTCACTCCCCCCACATTGTGCTCTCTCCCCTCAACACCCACCTGTAGTGAGCACGACCGCTTTGGCCAGGAAGTCGACCCCAAAGAACGTCCGCACGCCCTGCACGTCGTCGTTGGGGCCCACTATGAGCTCCGTTGCCATCGCCTCTCGGATGAACAGATTGGGCGTGCTGGGGGAGGGGCGAAAGTGGGGACAGACAGACAGGTCACAGGACAGAAGATGGTTGGTTGGAATCCGCACGCCCTGGACATTGTCGTTGGGACCCACCCACTATCAGCTCTGTTGCCATGGCTTCTCGGATGAACAGATTGGGCGTGCTGAAAGAGAGGGAACGCAGGGACAGACAGTCAGGACACAAGTAATGGTTACTTGAGAACGTCCGCACGCCTTGCACGTCATTGTTTGTTGAGGCCCACCTCACTAAGAGCTCAGGCATTGCCATGGCTTTTTTCAGGATAAAGGGATTGGGCATGCTGCAGAGACAGACGATAGAGGCGGACAGGGATGAAGATATGAGATTTTGGCGTTTTTGGCGGACATTAATTTTTACAAAAAAAAACGACAAAATCGACAAAGCATCCTGCCCTTAGTAAGTTATCGCCCTGTACTTCCTATTGTCTTACCGCCCCCTCTTGTTCGCCTTGTCCCTTCCCCCACAGCCTGGCCCTTTCCCTGCCACCTTCTGCATCTCCTCACTGCACTCCCCTACTGTCCGTCTGTGCCCTCTAATCCCCCTGCCTGCACCTCGTACCACAACCCACCTAAGCCCTCCCATTACTCACTTCTCCACCACCTTCCGCATCTCCTCGCTGTACTCCTGCTTGACCGTCTGTGCTCTGAACGTCCACACACACCACTGGTTGCACCTTGCCAAACCCTCTCACTCACCATAATACCCTATACCTACATACCGCATCCCACCCCTTTCACCACCCCCCCCACTCACTTCTCCACCACCTTCCTCATCTCCTCGCTGTACTCCCGCTTGTCCGTCTGTGCTCTGTTGCCCCCTCTGCACCCCATACCCCAATCTCTGAGAGCCTTCCACCCCAATGCCCCAACCAGCCCCAAGCCCCTTCATCACTCACTCACTTCTCCACCACCTTCCGCATCTCCTCGCTGTACTCCCGCTTGTCCGTCTGAGCCTTTAAAGCCCACACCGCTGTTTGAACCTTGCCAAACCCTCACAAGACCTGCATACCGCATCCCACCCCTTTCAACTCCACTCACTTCTCCACCACCTTCCTCATCTCCTCGCTGTACTCCCGCTTGTCCGTCTGCGCCCTTAAAGCCCACACCGCAGGTTGAAACTTGCCAAACCCTCACAAAACCTGCATACCGCATCTCACACCTTTCAACTCCACTCACTTCTCCACCACCTTCCTCATCTCCTCGCTGTACTCCCGCTTGTCCGTCTGCGCCCTTAAAGCCCACACCGCCGGCCCCCGTGACCGGTTGAGCACTCGCTTCTGCACATAGCACCTGAGGGGTAGAAGAGGGGCGGGGAGGGGTGGGGAGGGTTGGGAAAACGTGGGGGAAGAACTGGGGGCGCGGAGTAGAGGTTTATTGATTATGCTGGCAGTCGTAACTGGTGAAGTCATTCATCATTCCGCACATGCACGGATGAGCAGCACAGCAGTCGCAAGCATAACATAGCGTCGGCATGGCATGGCATGGCATGAGCAAGCAACGAGCCGAACACTCCTTACCTTGTTGTAACTTGCCTTGTATGAGTAATGCGCCGGGGTCGAGAGTAATGCTCTTCAGGCGAGCCATTTTAGCACCCAACAGAGACGAATACTCGCCCAGAAAAACAATTACTCGCCCAAAGAAACAAATACTCGCCCACAGAAACAAATATTCGCCCAATGAAACGAATATTCGCCCAATGAAACGAATATTCGCCCAATGAAACGAATATTCGCCCAATGAAACGAATATTCGCCCAATGAAACGAATATTCGCCCAATGAAACGAATATTCGCCCAATGAAACGAATATTCGCCCAATGAAACGAATACTCGCCCACAGAAACGAATACTCGCCCACAGAAACGAATACTCGCCCACAGAAACGAATACTCAATGGTTAACTACCCACCAGTCACCCCACCCTCGACTTCCTACCTACCCACCAATCAACCCCACCCTGCCTGTTCACCTGTCCGTCATCCTCCCAATCTGCCCGCCCAGGGCATCTGTCTCATGCACTAGCTGTGGTGACTTGGCCAAACCTTCAGAGGCGCCTCAAGAGCCAAACGCCAACAATACCCCCCAATCATACACACCCACCCACCAATCAACCCCACCCTGCCCTGTAGGTCAGCTCACCTGTCCGTCATCCTGCCAATCTCCCCTCCCAGGGCGTCTGTCTCATGCACCAACTGTGATTTGGCCGGACCCCCCACTGCTGGGTTGCACGGCTGCAGAAAGGGAGGGAGGGAAGGAGAAATGGGGGGAAAAAGCGGGGAAAGGGGACGAGGGGGGGGAACCAGAGCGTTTGCCTCACGCACCGATTGTGACTTGGCCGGCCGTATCCCCCGGTTGCAAGGCTGGCAGAGGATGGTGGTAAAAGGGGGAGGCGGAAGAGTGTGGAGGATGGGAATGGCTTTTGAGTCGACTCAAAAGTCAGCTCAAGGCTGGCAGAGGATGGTGGAAAAGGGGGGAGCGGGTCGAGTCGAGGATGGTGGTAAAAGGGGGAGGCGGAAGAGTGTGGAGGAACGGAGGGAAGGGAACCAAGAACCCTAGCCTTTGGACTGCAATGGCTGAGCCCTCAACATAAACCCTTCGACCCTAAGGGCTGAGCCATCAAACCCTGGACCCCAAGATTCAAGACCAGAGTAGAGTACCTACCACCTGCCATGCGGGTTTTGCCTAGTGACAGGTGTTGGCAGCATTGTTTCCGAATTTCGCCCCCCCTGCGGATTAACCCTTAAACCTTGAGCCCGAACCCTGAGTCCATCCTAACCCTAGGACCCCGAGAACCAACCAACCCAGGCCAGACCAGAATAACATCTGCCATGCGACTTTTCTTTACCTCGCGGCAATGTTGACTGGCAGGGCAGCAGTGCGTTTCCATGCTTGTCCGCACCACATCTTGGTTCCCAGCCTGGTCCATTCCATAACCACAAGGTAAGCAACCCCTGACTTCAACCCAGAAGCCTTGGCTTGACCACCCACCCACTGGGACCCACCTGCCATGCGATCTTGTCGAGGGACAGGGTGAGCAGCAGTGTCCTGGCGCCCAGCCTGGCGGATGCCAGTGCTGCCTCGCACCCCTGACTTACCTTGTATCAAGCAGCTCAGAACCCCTCATTCGACCCACCCACCCACCTGCCATGCAATCTTGTCGAGGGACAGGGTGAGCAGCAGTGTCCTGGCGCCCAGCCTGGCGGACGCCAGTGCTGCCTCGCACTCCTGACTTACCTTGTACCCACCTCAGAACCCTTAGAACCCGAAACCCTTGACTTGACCATCTCACCCACCTGCCATGCGATCTTGTCAAGCGACAGCGTGAGCAGCAGCGTCCTGGCGCCCAGCCTGGCGGACGCCAGAGCTGCCTCACACCCCGCGTGCCCCGCGCCTATCACAATCACATCGTACTGCTCGCCCTCCTCCACTGCTGAGAATGGTGGGCCGCCTGGGAAGGTTGAAAGGGAGGAGAATTGGGGAAGCAGGATGCTCTTTCATGATCCATCCACCCCGCGTGCCCCGCGCCTATCACTATCACATCGTACTGCTCGCCCTCCTCCACTGCTGAGAATGACGGGCCGCCTGGGAATGAAGAGAGGAGAGAAGGGGAGAAGCAGGATACAAGGGGTTGAGCTGAGCTTCGCACCCCCCACGAGTGCCCCGCCCCTATCACTATCACGTCGTAATGCTCTGATCGCCCCCCTCTACCGCTGAGAACGAAGGATTGCCTGGGATTGGAATGAAGAGAGGAGAAAGGGAGAAGCAGGAAGCAAGGGGTTCAGCATAAGTTTGCCCACCACGTGCCCCGCCCCTATCACTATCACGCCGTACTGCTTTCCCTCCTCTACCGCTGAGAACGAAGGATTGCCTGGGATTGGAATGAAGAGAGGAGAGAAGGGGAGGAGCAGGAAGCAAGGGGTTCAGCTGAGCTTTGCCCACCGTGTATTGCCTGGAAATATTGCCTGGAAATGGAATGCGTGCCCCGCCCCTATCACTATCACATTGTACTGCTTGACCCCCTCTGCTACCAAGAATGAAGCACTTCCTGGGAGTGAAATGAAGAGAGGAGAGAAGGGGAGAAGCAGGAAGCAAGGGTTTTAGCTTTGCACCCCACATGCCGCGCCCGGACGCCTCTATCACGTCGCACTGCTCTGCTCACCCTCCTCTACTGAGAACGAGAAAAAGTGGGGAAAGGGGAAGCAGGCAGGGAAACACGATGTCCTTTCACGTCCTATTCCCATGCCCCGCGGGCCCCCCCCACACCACGTCCACATGCTCCTGCACTTCCTCCTCTCGCCTGCACACCCCCTCCGCACACCCCCTGCTCCCACCCCCTCCTCCCACACCCCCTGCTTCCCCCTTACCCTGCTGCCTCACGATTGGCGTCCCCCTCCGCTTCATCCCTCGTTACTTCTCTTCACCCCTCCTTGCCCCTGTTATACCCCTCCTGACCTCTCTACGCTCCCTTCCACCCGTTCTCCACCCCCCTCGCCACCCGTACCAGCGATCGCGCGGCACTGCTGCCTCGAAGGATGCCCCAAGCCGCGCAACAACCGTCCGCCAGCTTCCCGCGCGCCAAAGGCTGCGCCCCCCAAAGCCCCGCAGCTCCCCGCAAGAGGAACGGAGCTCAGCGCGCGCCGAGCTCGCTGCGCTGATCCCCCAATAGCGCGTGCGGGCGGGAGAGACGGCGCAATTTGCGAGCGTGCTGGGCGGGCAAACGACGACGCGAGAACCTGGCGCGTGATCGTTTGTGGGGAGAGCGGAGGGTGTGTGCGAAAGTATACGCCGTTACAAATTGCGCAATCGACTGGCGAAGGAAACGTCCGACCATGCGACGGGCCGCGTCGCCGACCCGACCATCGCGGCAAGCGCGCCAAGCCGTGCCACGTGTCGGTCGCTGGGAAGCGCAAAGCGAACGACGTGGCCATGTCCATGCACGCGTCGCAAGTGCTCGACGCGGAAGCGCACGCGTCGCAATTGCACGAGGCACGAGACCTGGAGAAAAACTATGTCTTGCCTCGCGGGTCTCGTTCTTACGGAGAAGATACGAGACTGTGGAAGACTGCTAGACACTAGCAGCTCTCACTAAACGCGCGAGATGTTGGTGGGAATGGGTGTTGGAGCAGGTGAATGAATGTGCGTGGCAGTGTGCAGGATGAAGGGAGCTTCTAGGGCTTGTTCGTGTACGGTTCGTGCCACTTGATTCGACAGTTTCTGTCCTGGTTTCGTCTCTCGGTCGCTTCTCCAAACAGGCTCCCTTGCAGTTCCATAACAGGTTTCCATTGGAAAACGAAAGTGCTGCCGCGATTGGGCGAGAAGGGTAACTATCTTCGTAACTGGCCCAGTGTCGTTGATACAGCCAGAACCGTAACACGCGTCGCCGGAAGGTGGGATGCTCCTATGATACATTTCTTTCTTCAAATCGGTTCTAGTGTCATTGATTAGGGTTTCAGTTGAGTCTCGGCGCTCGCAGCATTTCACTTGGCTAGTAGCGAGGCCCAGGCGCTACCAACAGTGGATGCTGCTGCTTCATAAGTCGCTGCCGCTGCGGCTGCTGCTGCATCGTCTGTGCCTAGTTTGGGAGCATCCGTGCGGTTAGTCAGGCTGAATGAAGAGAACTCTTGTCTTGTACAGAATGCCCCCGCTAGAATAATGGAAATTATCTCAGCTGAATGTGCACCTCATTCGAGCGTTGCACATCATTCTGACGGTCTCACTACTCATGTCGGTGTAAATTATGATGTCACTGTGTATAAGGACGGCATTCTTAATAATATCCCAGCCAGTCCAAATGCCTCCTCGCCGATTTCTCGCCTCACTCGCGACTGTCTCGCTGGCGTCCTACGTAATCTTACCGACCCGCGTGACGTCATCTCCGCCTCCCTCGTCTGCCGCCTCTGGCACCAAACCTTCCGAGAATCTACGTCCCACTTCTCTTTAGTGTTCTGCTTAGAAACGCTGACGTGGCGGCCGTTCTTCCGCGACGTGAGCGGCTGTAGTTTCATGAACCCGTGGGAGCCAGGCGTGACATGTAACTCGTCAACGTCCGGTTCAGTTCCGTCAGCCTCAGTTTCCGTTCCGTCAGCATCCGTCCCAAATTCCGTCAGCCTCCGCTCGCAACATCCAACGCCTTGGTTTCTGGACGATATTAATCTCCTACAATCAGGGCCTACTCTAGCGAAAGTTTGCAACGACTTACATTTCAATGCAAGGCATACTGATTTGGATGATAGTAGAACTGCAGTTGGCAACAACAGCAACAGCAGCAGCAGCAGCAGCAGCAGCCACACGATTGAAACCAGGATTTCGCATACAGATGCCTCGTCGCCCAACCTTCCACCTCATCCCCTCCTCTCCTCCCGCCCTCTCCCTTCCATTCCCCCCCTCTCCCTCTTCTCCTCTATCTCCCTTCATCTCCCCTCCCACCCAACCTGGTCACCCCGCCGCCTCCCCCTCCTCCTCTCCGCCTACCCCAACCTCACATCCCTCCTCCTCCCCCTCCCTCCCTCACTCACCTCCCCTTCTCACCTCGCTTCCCTCCTCTCCTCCTCCCTCCCCGCCATGTGCCCTCACCTACGCACCCTCCACATACAATTAGACTGCTTGCAGGGGGACAGGGGATATGGGGTAGAGGGGGATGGGGAGCTGGGAAGAAAGGGGAAAGAAGGTGTGGAGTTGGGGGGAAAGGCGGAAGAGGGGGAAGAGGAGGAAGAGGAGGCAGAGAGAGGGGTTCGGGGAATGGGATGGAAGGAGGGTGGAAGAGCAGAGGAGAGGAAGGGGGAGAGAGGGGGTGGGAAGCAGAGAGAGAGTAAGAGGGATAAGAGGGAGAGGAAGAGGGCGGAGAGGAAGAGAGAGGAGAGGAGTGAGAGGAAGAAGGAGCAGGCTCACGAGCAGCAAAAGAGCACTTGTTGCAACAGCATCCCAATCATGGTAAACGGAGTACAGTCAACCGTTCTGGACCTCTCACCGAGCTTGGAGCGTTTGCTTCGGAAATGTCCGAACCTCCACTCGCTTAACTTCCAAGCGACACACACTTACCTCTTCCTTTCCCCCTCCCCTTCCCTCCTCCCCCTCCTCTCCACCCTCACCCAACTCTCTGCCCCGCTCTTCCACCTCCCTCCCTCCCTCCTCCTCCACCTCCCCTCCCTCACCTCCCTCTCTCTCACACTCCCTGTCGTCCTCTCTCCCCATCCACACCCGCAATACACCACTCTCTCAACAGATCCCATTCAACACCCTCCTCGTTCAGCCGGGCAACTGACCATACCAGCAGCAGCCCTGAGTGTCTCAGCAGCCCTGAGAGTCTCACAAGCCCTGAGCCTCCCAGCAGCCCTGTGCTCGCCCGGTCCCTTCCAGCACCTCTCCTCTCTCACGTGCCTGCGACTGGATCTGGTCCCATGCCCCGAGGCAACAGTCAGTGAAGCTCTCACTCGCCTTCAGTCATCTCCATCGGACCAGCACCCACCTGTGGAGCAGCAGCAGCAGTACCATCACCAGAGGCAGCACCAGCAACAGCACCACCAGCTTCTCGTTCTCCCCCCAGACATCTTCACCGGTTTGCACCTCTCTCTCCGCTCACTGCACCTCTCCTCCCCCCTGCCCATCGTGCCCCCACCTTCCCTGCACGCCCTCTCGCGCCTCACCTCCCTCTGTCTCCACTCACCAGTGCTCACCGCCAATCCTCCCCTTGCTGCTGCTGCTGCTGCTGCTGCTGCTGCTGCTGCTGCTACTGGGGGGCGAAATGGCCTCATGGAAACGGCACGTTTTGGTAGGAATGGTACCGGTGCTCGTGCTGGTTCTGGCGCTGCAGTGTCTGTCGGAACCGGCGTTTCGATTGGTCGTGACGTGGTCATCGGTGGCCGTCGGATGAACCACAACCACATCCCAACTAGTAATGGTAGTAGTGATGGTGATGATGATAACGACAATGAGCGAGACAGCAGTAGTCATCTCCCTACCTTCCCTACCTTCGCTTCATCACACCACTCCCTCCACTCCCTCCTCTCCTCCTTCCCCCACCTCACCCACATTTCTCTCCATGCCTGCTCCTCCGTTTCCCCCTCTCTCCTCCCCCTCGCCCCCCACCTCACCACCCTTCACCTCCCCCTCGCCTCCTCAGACCCAGATCAGGTCATCCCTCACTTATCCTCGCTATTGACTCTCTCACTAGGAGCCCTTGCAGTGCTACAGGACCGCTCCCCATTCCCACCCTCATTACAGTCCCTCTACGTCTGCTCTACCCCATTACCGCCTGCATTATCTGTAACACACACTCATACCAACACTAACACTAACACTAACACTAACACTAACACTAACACCCTCCCTCCTCTCTACTTCCCCCATACACGTTCCTCCTTCCCTTACTCTTCGTCCCCCCCTGCCTCCCCCTTGGTACTCCTCTCTCTCCAAACCTGGCACCTTCCGAACCTCCTCCATCTTAGTATGGAAGGCGTTGCTTTAGCTCGGCACATCCCGGACCATGTCTGCCTCTTTCCGAGCCTCCGCGTCCTGAAGCTGCGGAGGGTCGGCGGCAGGTTCGGCTTCACCAGCAAGCAAGGCTTGGGAAAGCTTCCGAGCCTGACCCATTTTATGGGCGCACACAACCGCAGCCACAACAAACTTCTTTCCCTCTGCCCGAAAATTTATTTCATTAAAGCATATGAACCCGCCGAATATGTCGCTTTAACTGTTCTACAATCACTGCGCACTTTGGTAGTTGATCATTACCATATCCAGTCATGCTACCTGTGGTCCCTCTCTCGGTTCGGGTCGCTTCATACGCTTCGGATCACGAACCTCCAAGTGCAGGCTCGGGGTAGGCCTGGTAGAATGACATGTCCGCCGAGTCTGACCACCCTGCAGCTGGTGAATATTCAAGATACGGAGCTTCCAGGAGCTTTGTTACACTTTTCTGGAATACGAAGATTGGATTTGATTGAGTGCTGGAAGTTGGAGGCGCTTCCAGTGTTCCTCACAAGGTTTGAGAATCTGGTTAAATTGAACATTGAGGGTTGCACACGGAGGGAGCTTCGATGTCGCAGTGATGTGGAGACATTTTTGCAGGGGAGAAGATTTTTCCGAGGGGAAATCGTGAAGTGTAGGGATGTTGATGAGGATGATTGGTAGTTAAGGTGAGGAATTTTCTGTTTGTGGTCAGATTATTCGTGCTCCAAACCGTGTTGAAATTCATCTTTTACAAAACGATTGGCTTGTACCCTCACATAAATTTCTATAATGGTTTTTGTGTATGTGATAAGGTGATACAAATGATACACCGCCACAACTTTCCCCTTTGCACGCCCTCAGTAGATTCGGGATTCCCAAGGCGTACGCACTTCTTCGCTGACATCACCCATATGCCAGGCACTTGCTTCAAACGGTCGGATTAGCAGATCCGTTACATCGGAGCACAACCACGGCGCAAAAGGTCCCCGCCGTGACGTAGCTCCCACACAAACGTCGCGTCGCAGCGTGACGATTTTCTGACGGCCGTCGTCGAAGTGCTTTCAGTGAGATCATCGAGGCGACGTAGTTGCGAAATACCAATGGAGCCGAAAGGCGGATCAAGAACACGCATCGCGAGGAGGAGGAGCCATAGAAGGGAGAGAAGAAGTGAGGAGTTAACGAGGAGCAAGCGAGAAGCAAGAGAAAGGGAGAGAGAGCGAGCTGCAACCCCTGCACTCACGGTGGATGGAAGTGCCGAAACTGTCAGGGGAAGAGGTTCAGAAGGTGTTTGGGTCAGAAACAGCGTGCGAGCATGCGTGTGACGTGCAGCTGAAGAAGCATCTTTTAAATCTCCCCGAATTTCAAACCGTGCTGCGCACCTATGCTTCTTGTCTCAAGGTATGTCGCACAACCATGCATTACAAAACCATGAGGGGCGAACTTTCACGCTGCCTGTCTTAAGCTGCGCCTCTCTCGCTGCCTTTTTGCTGCTGCGTGTTTTCCTTATGAGTTCTTTCGTCCCAGCTCTGCATGTGCCGATCTCTTGTCATCCTCCAATATCACTCCCCCCTTTATTCTCCCTCCCCTCTTCACTCCCCCTCTCCCTCTACTTTCGCTCGCTCCTCCACTCCATTCTCCCTCTGCACACTCTTCCTACCCCCTCTCGCTCCCTCCCACCCACTACACCCTCCCCCCTCCTCCACTTTCCCTGCCCTCTCTTACGTCTGCGCTTTACCAGATCGGGGCGTCTCCCGAGTTCCTGGCAGCCGTTGATGGCTTTGATCCTGTGGCTGCGCTGCAGCTGAAATACACCAGTGCTGATCAGCCGAATAACGCCACTGTTAATCAGCCACAACACACCACCACTGCTGACCAGTCGATTTTTGAGTCGACTCAAAAGCCACAACACACCACAACTGCTGATCAGCAGAAAAACACCAGTGGTAGCAGCCGTGAGGAGGGGTCAAATTTTAATCCAGCGGCCAGTGGGGACTCAAGGTCAAAGCCTCCTCCTATCAGCAAAGCAGGAGGTGCCTATGGGCTTGGTGCGGTGGAAGTGAATGGAGGCTTAGCCGCATCTCCCGAGGCAGACAGCTTGGCTGGCGCTCACAATCTCATGGTATGCATTCGCCCTCTGAAGATGATCTATTCTGTGTCCTCTCACCTCTTGCCTCCCCCGTTCCCCGCTATCTCCTTCCATCTGTTAATTCCATGAAGGTGCTTCAAAAGCCTCCAAGGTCACATCCATATGCCTCATTTATTTCCCACTACATCCTTCCAGGTCTTGAGACGTCTCAAAACATAAGCCTCATTTATTTCCCACTACATCCTTCCAGGTCTCTTTGAAGACCTATTTGCAGGCCGCACCCGCCTCCTCATTCCTTCCCACATCCCTCATCCCACACCTCCTTGCAGGCGTCTCTCTCTGAAGCTCTCGCTGCCTGCCTCGCTCGCATGCTGGCAGCCCACACGGCTGCTGAAACGTTTCTTGTGGACGTGGGAAAAGGCGTCTTTCAGGATGCTGCTGTTAATGCTGCTGGGGGTTTAGCTTCCGCTGCTGCTGCTGCTGCTGCTGGGGGTGTGGCTGCCGCTTTTGCTGCTGATGCTGCTGCTAATGGATCTGCTGTTTCTGATGATGCTGGTGCTACTGTTGATGCGGCTGGCGGTGGTGTTGTTGTTGCTGTTTCTAATGCTGCTGTCATTGCTGCTGATGCTGCAAATAATGAAATCAGGAGCAGCAGCAGCAGTGGCAGCAGCAGTAATGATGGTGATGGTGCGTTCACCAGCAGTGCAATGGGCAGCAGAGGAAGTGGTGGTTTCCTGGAAGGAAACCAAGAGGGGGACATGTTCAATGACATCATGGCTGACATCAGCATAAGCTTAACTCTTGCAACTCACAGCCAAGAACACCACCGTGTTGGCTCACACTTGAAAGCAGAGGCCGCCAGCTCATCATCGCCAGCTGGCGATTGGGAAACGAGCCGAAATCAACAAGCCTTTCGGTCCAATCAGGGGTCACGTGAGGGCGATTGGGGCATGGGGCAGATTCATCACGGCTTTGACTCAGCTCAAGGCGACCAGGATGCAGACTGTGAGGAAGAGAGCTTGAGAGGATTAGACTGTGAGGAGGAGGAGATAGAGAGCGTGGAGGCGGTGGAGCGGGCGGTGAGGGGGCGGTTTGGGGGGTTCCTGCGGACGGTGAGTGCGGAGCATGTGACCAAGCATGTCAAGGGCAAGCTGCCTGAGGAAGCCACGTTAAAGCTTCTGCACTGGTGGACCGAGCATGTCAGCTGGCCTTATCCTACTGTGAGTGCGGAGTGTGTGGTAAGGGTTTCAGGGTTGTGAGTGTGTTTGTGTGTATGCGTGCGTTCGTGCGTGCGTGCGTGTGTGTGTGTGTGTGTGTGTGTGTGTGTGTGTGTGTGTGTGCGTGTGTGTGAGGCTTCGCTTGGTCAACCAGGATGCAGAGTGTGAGGAGGAGGAGATAGCAGGTGTCAGGTGAGTGGCAGGTGTGCGGTGGAGTGACAGGTGTGCGTGTACCGAGCATGTCAGCTGGCCGTACCCAACTGTGAGTGGTTACTGTGGCAGGTGTGTGTGTACCATGCTTGTGGTGAAGTGATATGGGCTAGTGTGTGCTGCATGTGATGGGCCATGTGAAGGGCCACCTCTTGAGTCAACTGAAAATCCACCTCTTTTGAGTCGACTCAACAGTCACCCGCTGGCATGAGGCAGCTGGTGGGCTGGCGCATGGGAAGATAGGCAAGCGGCGAGACGGAATCACGGGGAAGCATGTAGCCTGATGAACAATCACCGTACCAGCAATGCCAGACTTGATTAGGTACTCATCCTGTTTTTCTCTGCTGTGTTCCGTCCCTGAATGTGTTGCTGTGTGCCTTACCGGAGCGCAGGAGCAGGAGAAGCTGCAGCTGATGGGGCAGACGGGACTGGACTCACGGCAGGTGAACAACTGGTTCATCAACCAGCGCAAGAGGCACTGGACCCAGCACAGCAAGAGGCAGCGCAAGGGCGTGTAAGGTAGATTTTACTTGGTAGGTATGGAATTCACAGCAGCCAATTTAAAATTAACATCAATTGCACATTCGCAGTTGTTTGAGCACCTTACAATACCGTATTTACCCGGCTAATAAACCCCCCAAAATTATAGACCCCCGGGTCGTTAAATGGGGGGGGGTCTAATGCTATCTCCACTTTCGTATTAGACCCCCCTTTTTTAATTGCATTCAGGATTAGAACCCCCCCCCCCCCCCCCCCCCCCTTCTCCCCCACCATTTGTGGTTTTTTTTAGGGAACTTTTTGTTAGTTGCAAACTACGGTACCATACAATAATACCTAGCAAACGCTTTCCCCAGCTCTGATCTCCTCAGTTATAGTGCTCTACATGCCACACCATGCTTTACCATGCAGCCTTGCTGCCCAATAGAGGGTTTCTAGGGGGATACGCTACTCAGGATACTGCTGTGCTGCCTACTCAAGATAAGGGACTGCTGCCTACTCAAGGTAAGGGACTGCCCTCATGAGGGCTTGTTCTACGCGCCCTCAGTGAAAGGGGCGTATGCAGTGGGGTCATCTTCGTCCTCCCGCCACCAGCACTCTTCCTCGAACTCATCAACTCCCTCCTCCTCTTCTGCAGCACCCTCCAGCCAGTCCTCGTCAGCCTCTGTCTCCTCGGCAGCCTCTGTCTCCTCGCCGTGTGCTGGGAGACGAGACATGGTGCTGTTGTCCCCAGCCCACCCCGTAGGGTCCGCATCGTCCGACACATCCACCTCACTGCCCGACTTGAGGTGTCGGAGAGTGAGATGGTCTTCAGAGCCGTCGATTGCATTCGACAGGCCACATGTTTTGAAGGAATTTGCGACGAGATCAGTGGGAATAGACTCCCACGCCTCTGCCACCCACCTAAGGACCTCGTCAGCCGGCGGTTTCTTGAGGTTTCCTGCCATCCACAAAGAGATTCATTGAGAGATTTGTGGGGCACATGAAGCGTACACGAGTCACACATGAAGCTTACCGGCTTTAGTCAATGTGTTGATGCCCTCGGATGCGAACCATTCTTGGTAGCGCTTGCGAACAGCACATTTGAACGCCTTGCTGATGCAGACATCTAACGGCTGCACCAATGAGGTGCAGCCGCCAGGGATAACTGCAGGGATGATCTTGAAAAGGGAGAAAGTTTCCTTGACACTTGTGGTCAAGTGTCCCTTGTAAGAATCCAGGACCAGCAGGCACGGCTCACGCGGACGTCCGAAGGCCCCCATCATGAATGGGGCGACAACTTTGGTGGTCCAGTCTTTCACCAAAGTTTCATCCATCCAGCCTTTGCGTTGGGCGCGGACGATCATTCCTGAACACACATTCACACAACAACGTTACGAATGCAGAATGTGGCAAAAATCTGAACCAAGGGAGTAGGCAAGTTCATACCAGCCGGGATCTTGATCTTTGGGATTGTTGCTCTCTTGAAGACGATGAACGGCGGCAGCTTCACACCCGCGGCAGTGCAGGTGAGCATGACGGTGACGCGTTCTTTTTCATAACCAGCAGTTCGAACATGCACGGTTCGCGCTCCAGAATGCTCAAGGGTCTTCTCAGCGGGCATCTCCAGAAATAATGGCGTTTGATCGGCGTTCAGGATATGCACGTCTTTGATCTTGTGCTTGATCCGCATTTGTTTCACGAAACGCCATAATGCCTCAACCTTGTCCTTGCAATCTGCTCAAGGACGGGAGGGGGGTGAGGTTCATTAAATCAGTGGCGACATTGTTTACGCCGTACATATGCATCTACAAACTCACCACTTGCCAGGCGCTGCCCAACTTTAGTCTTCACTCGAAGCGCGAGACCCCAGCGGGTACGAAATCTGGAGGCCCAGTGGAACGAAGCGCGCCAATCACAAAGCGGGTGGTGCCGCTTCATGAAACTGGCGCTCCATGCACGTAGCATGGCAATGGTTACGGGCAGCCCACGAGCACGACGATTGAGGAACGAACGGTAGACAGAGAGCTCCATGTCTGGATGCATGGATCTCCTACCTGCTCCGTGCAAGCGCTTACTACATCCAAAGGATTCCTCCATACGAGCTTGCTCCTTCTTCCAGCGCCTTATCGCCGACGGCTGCACTCCAGCACGGCGTGCAGTCTCACGAATCGTCAGCAGCTCCGTCCGCATCGTTTCCAACCATCCTAGCTTATCGGTGACGGTGCGATCACGTCGGGCAGCTTTTGTTTGATGCCCGCTAGCTTCTGGAGGAGAAGCGTCACGGTCGACGACAGGCTGCCTAGTGTTTGACAGTGTAGGAAACTCAGGAACAGAGACATTAGGCAGGTCTTCGTCCTCCACGGTGGGGCCACTACTGCCTGCTGCAACCACGGGCTCTGGATGAGATGCAGTAGTGCTAGGTACTGCAGGTGTAGTCTGGGACGTAGGGTGGGGTGGAGCATTGTGAATGTTGACAGTCACGTCGTGAACAGATGCACCGCGACCAAACAGAATGCCTATGCCAGTAGGAGTGGCCATTGCATCATTCGACTACCTATTGAGATTAGACACATGTGCCTTATACGGTTCTAACACAGCAGAATGCCCCCAGGAAACGAATTGAGAGCTGCGTCAAGAATTGGATGTTGCTTTGCAACTAGGCGTTGGATGCGTTTGCGTGGATTACACATCGAAGCGCGATTTGCAGGAATGGGAAGCTGCTGCAACATCCCGCCATCTTCTGACTTCACAACGGCCCACCGTGCCGTTGACTGCTGCAGATAGTGAGGAGCGTCACTGGACGTGGGTTGGGCTGGTGGTGTTTTCCGCAAGTGGCAGTTTCAGGCTGGCGCGTTGTGCAAGTCGTGACGCGAGACAAGACGTGCGCGATTTGGCTTCCCTGATGCGCTGGAATGCTGAGTAACATGTGAAAAGTGTGTTAAAGTAAAAAAATAAACTATGTTAGGATTAGACCCGGGGTCTATTAAAATTCCCCCCAGATAATAGACCCTCCCCCCTTTTTTTCCCGGTATAGGATTAGACCCCCGGGTCTATTAGCCGGGTAAAAACGGTATATGCAGTTCCTGCGACTCCTAAATCAAAGACATGTCTAAGTAGGCACTGTTCTCTGATGAGAGGGAGGGTCTTTCGTCTGTACTGCACCCGTCAAATTAACCGACGCTGTAGGCGCGCTGATGGCCAGCGAGATTGGCGAAGAACGCGTTCAGCCCCCACGCGACAAAAAATTTACGCAGGCGACAGGGACCCATTTCCGTCGCCGAGGTGCGTCGATTCGGGCGAAGCGTTTCCCTTGAACGCTAGTCCGCTGGGGTAACGAACGTTACCTAAACCGATCACCAAAGCTCGCTAACGCTCGCAAAAGCCGCAATTTAAACTACCAGGAAACCACTCTCCCCTGTTGCCTAACCAACTAGGCATTGCCAAACGCGTTCCATCCAGCCTTCGCTTTATTTGTGCATTATCAATCACAGCAATAATGCATTCCTACTAGGCATTCCCGCAGTTCACGCAACTCTGTAGTGCGCGAGCGCGGTACTGGTAGTGGTACTACCAGGCGGAAGCCCTTTTCGCCCTGCACCCTGTCGCGTAGTCTGAAGTCCGCTTCGTCCAGCCGCAACCCGCCAGTGGGCTTTCTTCCCGTCATCGCTGGCCCCGTTCCCCTCTCCTTTCCGTCATGGCGAAAAATATGACGAAAATCGCTCTCACCCTCCCCTGCGCTGCTCCCTCCACGTGGGACGCTGTGCGTCCGTCTCCCTCTGCGCGCCCCTCACCTTTCCGCAATGAACGAAACGCGTAACATTACTGTCCGCGAGTCCACAGCACGATGTTAGATCCAGTAGGAACAATGAACCAGTGCGCGCTTCACCACTTACTCCCAACACATATATCATCGACGCCCCTTCCGAGCCCGTAATCACATTCTCACGCCACTTCCCGCTGATTACGTCTTTTCGCGCCTCCTCCTGACTCGCACCTTTCGAGCTCCACCCAATCCCACTTCGTCGCGCCTATACGAGCCTCAGTATCTGAGACTGCGACTTTTGAGGCGCCTTAAAAGCCCACTTCGTCGCGCCTATACGAGCTTCAGTATCTGCTGAGACTGCGGTTCAACTCCTGTCTTGCAAAAGCCGAAGCCTTCGACGTCGTGCCGTGACCTTTGATTCCTCTCTAGTAGCCGTCACCCGCCGCCGTGATTCACCGTCACCCGCCGCCGTGATGGAACGCTCCGGGCGGAGGACTTTGAGTCGACTCGAAAACAGCCCCGTCGCCATGATGGAAGCCAAACGCTCCGGGCGGCCTCGGTCTGCCGTTGGCGCTGGCATGGGCGCGCTCGTGGCGGGACTCGTTGCACTCTGCCTCCTCGCGACCCCAGTTGCTAGTGAGTGCTGGATGTTTGCCGCCCACCGCTAACACGGAAAAGACATGACAGGCTACTGGTGCCCACTCTTGCTTCTCGCTCTCTTGTCTCCTCGCCCTCTTGATCCTCGCCCTCTTGCTCCTCGCCCTCTTGCTCCTCGCCCTCTTGCTCCTCGCCCTCTTGATCCTCGCCCTCTTGTCTCCTCGCCCTCTTGCGGCATGCTGCTTCTCATCACCATCTCCCCGTGTGGCTTCCTTGCTTCTTACTGCCAACTCAATTGCCCCCAACAGGCGTTGATTGTGGAGGCTGGAGCTGTGATGGGGAGGGTGCCTACTGCGCTGGGTCTGGTATTTACCCGTGCGGGTGCAGAAATGGTTTTGCCTTGAACGGTTTTACTACCTGCATTAGAGGTGAGTGTAAGGGCACAGCGGTTGCATGCATGCTTTTAGGCAGTAACTTTTCTCATTCCTACTTTATCTCAAATCAACACATGACCTCCCCCGTAGCAGTGTGGGTGGGTGTTGGATGGTGGGTAAGTGCACGCACAGGTTCAATTAAAGTCGTACATTTCACAAACTCCCACAAACATTTCACAGTCAAAGCCCTTCTTGCCTCGAACCACCACAATTTCCCGTGCAGCCGAGTGTGTGACTCATGAGGACTGCGGCGCTCCTCCTGCTGCATGCTATCTCGTAGAGGGGAGCTCTTACCAGTGCAGGTGCTATGATCGAACCATCTACAACGCAACAACAAAGAAACTGCTATTGCTACCAGTGCAGGTGCTAAGGAGTGTTCTTAGGATCGTAAACACCTTAGTCGGCAATAGTCTACTTGCTATTGCTTATCGTGTTCTCCACGATCTCCCAAATCCAACGATATGCGCAGCTCTGCTTGAAGTTGTCAATACACACTTCAGCAATTTCCAGAATCTGATTGGTTTCAATGTTGTGATTTCCAGAATGAGTACAAGCAGTTTTATAGTCAAGCAAGTCACAAAATGCGATTCGTAACTTCACTTGTTTCCCAAGTAACCCCGTGCGCCTCGTTTCACCCCGAGTCGCACACGGAACCGAACTGAATGCACCGAACACTCCTCAAGTCCGAATCTGGAACCTTCTCGAACACGCCTCGAGCTCGTACCACAGTTTCCCCCGTCGATCTCATTCTCGATACTTCTCTACTCTTCTCCTCCATTTCTCTAGTATCTTCCCGATCTCTCTCCCGCCTCTCACGCCGTAGCTTCCAATATCCACCGTAGGCCGATTTCCACCGTTTCACCTAGAATCATCCACATGCTTCCATTTCGCCGTCATTCCGCCGTCGTAGAAGCTTTCGCCGTAGGTTCCGTGGTTGGGCGAACCAACCCTAACAATCTCCCCTGTGGTTCGTCAACCACGAACACCACTCGCACTGCTTTCCTGCTCCTTGTAGCATTCACAGGGTCTAAGTCGGCTTCACGCTCCTCTGCAGCTCCTGCACCTTGAACCTCTGCTTACGTGTCTTGAAGTTGAGCGCCTTGATATCCAAACCATGAGGCATCTTCTTAAGCCTCTCGCTTCTCCTCGGAATCTTAGCACCCAACACCTCTCGGGTCTTGTACCCCTCAACGTGTTCCTCTTTCATAAGCACTCGCCCCTTTGCAGTTGCATTCGCCGTTGATCCCTTCACCATGATGCCCCCTTTCACAGCTTCAACTCCCACACACTTCGCATTTACTGCTTCATCTTTAACCACGACCGCTGCTGCAAAAGTGTTGACACCATCTCCATCTCCATCATTCACCGCTGCTGCCTCCATGGTGACTATCTCTTCTTCCTGCTTCACTGCTGCCTCCACACTCGCTCCCGTATCATCCGTGTCCTCGCTCTCATCAACCTCAGTAGACTCAGGATCCTCATAGATCTCATCCTTGTCGTTCATCGCTATCAAGTTCATTTCATAGAACCTTTCACTGAAGTATCCATCGGCATACTTCTCCCACTCAGGACCAAACACTGTAACCTCGCCTTTGTCATAAAATATCTTGCACCCCAAGTCATCAAGCTGTGACTGACTCATCAAATTCACCTTCAAATCCTCAACCAAGAGCACATTCTCCAGTTTCACCTCTCCATACGGACTTTGCAGCACCACGTCACCCTCTCCTGTCACTGGTAACTTCCCACTGTTACCTTGCAGTATATAACGCTCACTCGACTCCCTCACGTTCTCCATCCAATCTGACCTGAATGTCATGTGACGCGTGCATCCGCTGTCCATGAACCATGCCGTCTTCTCACGTCCGTCCGTCTGACGAACATCCTTCGGTAAACGCACCACGTTCGCACGATGCGCTCCTCCCAAAATCACATCCTCCTTTTCGGCTTCCGCTACATTCGCCTTACCCGCCACAATCCTCTGCTGCGACGGACCCTTGTAGCTCCTGCTGTTCGGATTGGAGTAGCACTCTGCGGCACGATGTCCGTAGCGCCCACAATAAGCACACTTGCCGCCAAAACCTCGTTTCTGTTGCCACTCTGCTCCCCCATTTTCTCCTTTCTCGTTCTCCACCGCTTTGCCCTTGTAGTTTCTGCTTCGCGGATTTTCGTAGCAGTTTATCGCCTTATGCCCCCTCTTTCCACACTGGTAGCACGCTCCAAACGCCTTCGTTGCATTCACCAAAGCCGGCCTCTCCTCGTCAAAATCCGTAGCTGCTGCTGCCGCTTTCTTTTTCCTCATCTCCTTCACCGTCTCAAGCGATTGCAGAATCTCCTGCAGCTTCGTCAAACTCTCCGGCGGTTGGTACGTAAACATACTGATGTCGGATTCCCACTCCTTAGGAAGGCCTTGGATGATATAGTCAATCATCTCGTGCTCCGTCTCCGCGGCTCCCATCACCCGCAAGTCGTCGTTGTAGTTTTTCGCCCTGTTGATGTAGGTGATGATTTTCTCGCCTTTCTCCATGCTCAGCATCAGCAGTTGCTTCCTAATCGCCTTCTTGTTGACATCGTTCGTGCCCATGTACGTGGACTCCAGGTACTCCCACGCTTGCTGTGCAGGGTTCAGCTCCCCTGCAAACTGGTCCAAATCCACCGCGATTCCATCGGCAACTAAGTGACAAAGCTGAAAGAACGCTTGCTTACTTTGTTTCTTGAACGCCGCTATTTTCTCCTTCGTATCCGTCGTGGAAGGCGCAACTCCCTCCATCGTCTCCTCGTCGGGACGGTAGTACGGCAAGAGGTCCACCTCCTCTGCCCTTCGAATGAACTTCTTCCGCCACACGTTGTAGTTGCTCCCGTTGAAGCGCTGGGCTTCACTGAGCCCGATCGTCGGTTTCGCCACCAATCGGCCACTCGCAAGGGCCTCGAGAAGAGCCTTCAACTGCGGGTCTCCAAGACTCACACTGGAACCCGAACTCGCCTCGTCTCCCATGGCGTAGGCGTGAACGACTCCTCTTCTCCACTAATTTCACTTAGCGCACCAAGTGATTTACGACGATCGACGCGCCCGTTCGCCAAGCTCTGATACCAGTTCTTAGGATCGTAAACACCTTAGTCGGCAATAGTCTACTTGCTATTGCTTATCGTGTTCTCCACGATCTCACGAATCCAATGATATGCGCAGCTCTGCTTGAAGTTGTCAATACACACTTCAGCAATTTTCAGAATCTCCAAGTTGTGTTTTCCAGAATGAGTACAAGCAGTTTTATAGTCAAGCAAGTCACAAAATGCGATTCGTAACTTCACTTGTTTCCCAAGTAACCCCGTGCGCCTCGTTTTACCCCGAGTCGCACACGGAACCGAATTGAATGCACCGAACACTCCTCAAGTCCGAATCTGGAACCTTCTCGAACACGCCTCGAGCTCGTACCACAGTTTCCCCCGTCGATCTCATTCTCGATACTTCTCTACTCTTCTCCTCCATTTCTCTAGTATCTTCCCGATCTCTCTCCCGCTTCTCACGCCGTAGCTTCCAATATCCACTGTAGGCCGATTTCCACCGTTTCACCTAGAATCATCCACATGCTTCCATTTCGCCGTCATTCCGCCGTCGTAGAAGCTTTCGCCGTAGGTTCCGTGGTTGGGCGAACCAACCCTAACAGCTGCTGGATTGTGAGTGGGTGCTGCTGGATTGTGAATGGCGCTGGAGTGTGAATGGGTGCTGCTGGATTGTGAATGGGTGCTGCTGGATTGTGAATGGTGCTGGAGTGTGAATGGGTGCTGCTGGAGTGTGAATGGGTGCTGCTGGAGTGTTAATGGGTGCTGCTGGATTGTGAGTGGGTACTGCTGCAGTGTGAATGGGTGCTGCTGGAGTGTGGGTAGACAGGAGTATGCGAAATTGTTCCATCCACAAGACTCCCTTGCCCTAATTTACCTGAACCACAACGAATTCCTCTGCAGACGCGTGTTTTACAAAGGATTGCGGGACAGGCACTTCCTGCTCTGTGGGAGGCGATGGCGTTCCCAAGTGCTCGTGCAATGTGAAAGGTCTTATCTACGATGAAAAAGAGAAGACATGCAATGGTGAGTGATGGAGTGTGAGTGCGTGCTAGTGTGTGGGTGAGTGCTAAAGTGTGCTAGAGTGTGGGTGAGTGCTGGAGTGTGGATGGGTGAGTGCTAGAGTGTGGGTGAGTGTTGGAGTGTGGATGGGTGAGTGCAGGTTTGTGGATGGTTCTTGGAGTGTGGGTTAGCGCACAGCAAAGCTGTACATTCAGACAAACCTTTTCTCTTCTTTACACCGTCACCACGAATTACCCTGCAGACGCGTGTCATAACTATGCATGCGGGGCAGGTGCTACCTGCTCGGTGGGAGGCGATGGCATTCCTATGTGCACGTGCACTAACAAAAGTCTTATGTACGATGAAAAAGAGAAGACATGCAATGGTGAGTTGCTGGAGAGTGTGGGTGCTGGAGTGTGGGTGGATGGGTGCAGGTTTGTGGATGGTTCTTGGAGTGTGGGTTAGCGCACAGCAAACCTGTACATTCAGACAAACCTTTTTCCTTCTTTGCATCGTGACCACGAATTCCCCTGCAGACGCGTGTCATAACTATGCATGCGGGACAAACGCTTCCTGCTCTGTGGGAGGCGATGGTGCTCCCAAGTGCTCGTGCAATCTCAAAGGTCTTATCTACGATGAAAAGGAAAGGACATGCAATGGTCAGTGCCGTGTGGGTGGTTTGGTGGTGGACTGCGGGTGGTGGTGGAGTGTGGGTGGGTGAATGGCTGTGGGTGGCTGGTTGGTGGAGGGTCGTAGACGATTGGGCAAAATGGTTCCGTTCACACCTTCCTTGCCTCATTCTACATCAAAATCTCCCCAAATTTCCCTGCAGACGCGTGTTATCAAGTGGATTGCAGGGCAAGTGCGTCCTGCTTTGTGACAGCTGCTGGCACTCCCAAGTGCTCGTGCAATGCTACTTACTGGTCACACCTTCAACGAAACAGACAAGACTTGCAATGGTGAGTGGATGTGTGGGTGGGTGCTGGAGTGTGGGTGGGGGCGGGATGGTTGTGTGTCAGTTTGTTCTCACAATTAAGTAAAGTCGTCCATTTCACATCTCTGTTCCCCTATTTCTCCTTGAAACCGTCATGAGTTCTCCTGCAGACGCGTGTTATCAAGTGGATTGCGGGAAAAGTGCCTCCTGCTGTGTGACAGCCGATGGCACTCCCAAATGCTCGTGCAATGCTACTGGTCACACCTTCAATGAAGCAGACAAGACTTGCAATGGTGAGTGGGAGTGTGGTAGGGTGCAGGAGTATGGGTGTTCCGAGTTCTGGCAATATGTGATATCCACAATGCAGGAAACAAGACATGCAATGGAGAGTGGTGGAGTGTGGGTTGGTGCTGGGATTTTTTTTGGGTGGAGTGTGAGTGGGTACCAAGAAGAAACCTCTTGCATCCTCTGTCGAGAGACTGTTGGTTTTCTTTCATTATACCTTCAAAACTTGGTTGTTCATTCTGACAATGTGACCAGTATGGGAGAGACAGGGTAAAATACGGTGAGAAACAAGCCTCTTCTTTGTCTCCCTATGCCTCCCCAATGGTTTTTTTACCCCTTCCCTTTTTTTTGCCGGTGGTGTTTGTCCCTCTGTGGTCCCCACAACAGCTCCCTCTGTGGAACCCACAACAGCCCCGTGTCCCAGGGATTGCGGACCCGCCAAGTGCGTTGTGGAGGAGGGCAAGGCCCAGTGCAAGTGCCCCTCGGGCCTCGTGTTCAATGAGGCTGAGAAGACCTGCAGCGATGCGTCTTATACTCCTGGTAAGTGTCCTTGTGTCTTGCCGCTGGTCGGTGTCTTTGTCTCTTGCTGCTGGTCGGTGTCTTTGTCGTTTGCTGCTGGTGGGTGTCTTTGTCTCTTGCTGCTGGCATTCATTCTGATACTATGTGATGTGATACTAACTCCATTCCCCCTCCACCCACGGCAGCGACAGACCCGTGTAAGGCGGGCACACTCAAGTGCGACAAGAACTCGAAGTGCGTTGTGAAGAACGGCCAGGGGAGTTGCGAGTGTGACGCCGGCTACACCAAGAGGAGCGGCCTCTGCACTGGTGAGCTCAACGAGGGATTTTCTTTCAAAGGCTGATGGTCAAGAGGCTCTGATTCACAGGCTGGTGGCCAAGAGCTGAAGAGGTCAAGAGCTGAAGAGGTCAAGAGCTGAAGAGGTCAAGAGCTGAAGAGGTCAAGAACTGAAGAGGTCAAGAGCTGAAGAGGTCAAGAGCTGAAGAGGTCAAGAGCTGAAGAGGTCAAGAGCTGAAGAGGTCAAGAGCTGAAGAGGTCAAGAACTGAAGAGGTCAAGAGCTGAAGAGGTCAAGAGCTGAAGAGGTCAAGAGCTGAAGAGGCAGTGCATCCTTTAGAGGCAGTGCTGAATGTGAGTCTAGCTTGAGTACAGTGCTCTATGCTGACAGTGGGGGTTCTGTGGTTTCCCCTCGCCACTCACTCACGCTTCAGCCTCCACTCGAACTCATTTCTCCCTTTGCTACCCCTCAGCCTCCTGCTCTTTTCCCACTCCCTTACCCCTAACCTCCCTCCCACGCCCCCAACCTCCCGCCCACTCCCCCACCCCCCTGCCCACTCCCCCAACCTCCCGCCCACTCCCCCAACCCCCTGCCCACTCCCCCAACCCCCTGCCCACTCCCCCAACCCCCCGCCCACTCCCCCAACCCCCTGCCCACTCCCCCAACCTCCCTCCCACTCCCCCAACCCCCTGCCCACTCCCCCAACCTCCCGCCCACTCCCCCAACCCCCTGCCCACTCCCCCAACCCCCCGCCCACTCCCCCAACCCCCTGCCCACTCCCCCAACCTCCCGCCCACTCCCCCAACCCCCTGCCCACTCCCCCAACCCCCCGCCCACTCCCCCAACCCCCTGCCCACTCCCCCAACCTCCCTCCCACTCCCCCAACCCCCTGCCCACTCCCCCAACCTCCCGCCCACTCCCCCAACCTCCCGCCCACTCCCCCAACCCCCCGCCCACTCCCCCAACCCCCTGCCCACTCCCCCAACCTCCCACCCACTCGCCCAACCTCCCACCCACTCCAGCGGTGTGCAAGCGGGCCTGCCCTGTGAATGCGCAGTGCACGGTGGAGAGAGGAAAGCCGGTGTGTCGGTGCAAGACACGTTTCAAAATGGAGGGCAACAAGTGCATACGTAAGTGAGAGGGAGAAATTTCTTTCTGTGCAAACCAGTTTTACTTGTCCCAACATCTCCACCTCCCACATGCACCCATGACACATCCGTGCCATCTACTCTCACTGTCTGCCCTCCAACCGTTTCCCACTCATTTTCCAAACTCTTCCTTCACTTCCACCGCTCTACCCACCACATGTGGCAGCCGTCTGCACTACTGCCTGCCCTGCGAATGCGGAGTGCAAGGTGGTGCAAGGGGGAAATCCGGCATGTCAGTGCAAGGCAGGGTTCCGAATGGTGAATGGCAACAAGTGCACTCGTAAGGGACCTTAACAGGGCATGCACCTCTACCTCCACCTCTTAAGGGACCTTCGCTTTCAAGCAAGCCCCTAATGGTTCCTGCCTGCCTGTCACATTTATGCCATCTAGAATTGCTTTGTGTCCTTATCTCCATCTTGCTCATTGATTTACATTCTTGTCTGCTGGTCTTTCCCCCATCACATGTGGCAGCCACATGCCAGGGTGGCTGCCCTGCCAATGCGCAGTGCAAGGTGGTGAACGGAAGGGCGGAGTGTCAGTTGAAGGCAGGGTTCCAAATGGATTATAACAACAAGTGCACTTGTAAGGGATAGAAGGTGGAAAGGGAGAGGTAGATGAAGAGGGTGAATTGTTTTGTATCTTTCGTGCTCTTCCTTTCATATTTTTCTCCACTGGCTGCTCTAATCATTAGCGCCCCACCACTATCACCACACATTCTTATCACCACACATTCTTATCACCACGCATTCTTATCACCACACATTCTTATCACCACACATTCTTATCACCACACATTCTTATCACCACACATTCTTATCACCACGCATTCTTATCACCACACATTCTTATTGCCACACACTCATCTTCTTGAGTCATATGCTTCCACCATCCACATGTTGCTCCCATAGCTGATCATCCACATGTGTGATTGTTATGTCATGCCTCCACCATCCACATTATGTCATGCCTCCACCATCCACACGTTGCTCCCATAACTGATCATCCCGGTTCATTTTCCGTTTTATGTCACTTCCTACATTCTGGCCTGCCCTCACGTTCTCCCACTCATTGCAACTCAGAGAGCTGATTTTGTTCACGACAAAGGTGTTGGTGAACAAGAAAAGGAAGTACGGTACAAGTTGGCAGTGCAAGAGGGACGTCAGGTCGCCAGGGGCTGATGGAGCAGATTTTTTAGGCGCCTCAAAAATCAACTCAGAAAGCTGAAGATGTTTACTTCAAAGGGGTTGGTGAACAAGCGAAGGCAGTACAGGTTGGCAGTGCAAGAGGGACGTCAAGTTGCCAGGGGCTGATGGAGCAGAGGTGCGAGCAACTGCATGCGGTTGCTCGGAGGCCAGAAACCAATCAGTGTGACGATTGGCTAAGTCAACCTGTGCATGCACTAGGGATGAGATTACGGCACATGCTTGATTGGCTGGTTGTACCATAGCGTGTAACTTAAATTAGTTTGGAAGGATTGCTAGTTGCTTTTGGATCAGTTTTTTATGTGCTACTTGGATTTCTTTGCCTTAAGTTAGTGTGCCCTTTTCCCTGAAATAACTTGCGTTTGAAGCATGTTGGTATGAAAAATGTCATGCAAAAAAAAAAAAAAAAAAAAAAAATGAAACAGCAACAAAAACCGGTAGCAATGTGATGTGAACAACCCCTATCCGCGTGGATGGTGGAGATTTTGTCAGGGTCCTTGCTAGTGCCAGAACCCACCTGACACATCAGACGGGCCCTTCGGGTCCGTCTTCTACATCGGACATGTTGCCCATACTCTAAAGAAGGTCTCGTTGGGCTCGTTGGCCCTTAAGTTTTTTGAGAAATTTTTAAAACGTTGGTACGGAATGGTGACTGAGTTTTTTTAAAAAGCACAGAGGAGCCAGGGAATTGTGGTGGAAAAGGTGAGGAAGGGGATTGTAGTGGGAAGTTGGAAACTATCTGACAACTTTCTGCACCCTTCTTTCAAGGCTGTTGTGAGGTAAGTTAAACGGTCGTCTCGTGAGTGGTTGGATGGCAGATAGTCATGTGGCCGAAGCTGCTCGCGTGCTCTCTGATGATGGACCCAAGGAGGAATTGGGCATGGGGTGGAGGAGGATTGGATCCCATCTTTCTTGTGCAAGTGCTGTGTGCTGCTGCTGCGGTCCCTGGATGGTATCGTGTTGTTAGCTGCCTGGATAATTTTGTGAGAATGTTATATTTCTCTAGTCTGCAGTGGAGTATTCTGTAATGAGTACAACCCTGTTAGGGTTTTCTATATGTAACCCATTGTTTGCTAGTGAAACCCCTCTCCTACAAACCTGTTAGGGTTCTTTTCTCATGTTAGTACCCAAAACCCTAATTATGGCTACTAAGTACTAGCTACTATTCTCAACATGCTATCAGAGCGATTACGCTCCTGGCCTGTGGGCCCACCTGCTTCCGCTGTTGAACTTTCTGTCGCATGCCCCGTGGCGCGCGGCGTTTTTCCTTCCCGCCGCGCACTCGGGGCACGCGGCGGTTTTCTGCCCGCCACGCGCTCGGGGCGCGTGGCAGTTTCCTGCCCGCCGCGCGCCTCGGGCGCGCGCGGCGGTTTCGTCGCCCGTCGCGGCGCCCCGGGGGCCCGCGCGCTGTCCCCTCCCGTCGCACATTGCGGCTTCCTGGGGGCTCGCGCGCCGCCCCCTCACGTGGCCCGTCGCGGCGCCTTGGGGGCCCGCGCGTCGCCCCCCCTCCCGTCGCCCGTCGCGGAGCCCTGGGGGCCTGCGCGCCGCCCCCTCCCGTCGCCCGTCGCGGCACCCTGGGGGCCCGCGCGTCCCCCCCCCCTCCCGTCGCCCGTCGCGGCGCCCTGGGGGCCCGCGCGCGGTCCTGCCTGTCGCCCTTCGAAGCGCCCCAAGGACCCGCGCGACGCCCCGCTTCCGCTCGCACGCCGCCCCAGCTGCTGCCCGCGTATATGCCCCGCGTCGCGCACGCGCCGCCTGCGTTTGGGGTATGGGGGTGGCGGGTATGGGGGTGGCGGGTGTGTGAGCCGTCCCCTACTCCTCCTCCTCCTCCGTCTCCCACTGCTACAGCTGCCGCTGAGGGGGGTGGATGTGTGGGAGCCGAGGGAGTGGCGCTAGGGGGGTGTCGTGGGAGTGGAGCTAGCGGTGCATAGGGGGTGTATGAAAAGGGGGTCTGCGACAGTGGGGGAGGGTTGAACGGAGGTAGCCGTTGTGGAGCCAGCAGCACCAGTAGTCCGGGAAGGTCGTGCTCTTGCTCCGGTAGCCAGCGAGCCCGCTGCACCAGTTGCCCGTGGGTCCGTTGCTCCAGCCGCTCGTCGTAGCCGCGGAGTCAGTTACTCCAGTAGTCCGGGAAGGTTGTGCCCAGCCCGTGTGCCAGTTGCTCCAGTAGCCCGTGTGCCAGCAGCTTCAGCCTCCGCCTCCAATCTTCTCTCCTCTCACAGTCTCTCCTCCTCCTCACTTGCCCCCTGTGACTGCCTCTAGCTCTGCTTGTGCTTGTGAACTTCTTATGCGACTGTTTGCTGTGCTGATCATACCCCACTTTGCCTATGGGGGTGTGTCAGTATGAGTACAACCCTGTTAGGGTTTTCTATATGTATCCCATTGTTTGCTAGTGAAACCCCTCTTCTGCTGTTCTTCTCTCATGCTAGTACCCAAAACCCTAACTATGGCTACTAAGTAGTAGCTACTATTCTCAACAAATTTATTAGGCCTACCATAGTTTGTAACAAACTCGTGGTACTGATATTGTGTATATGCAACCATTTGTTGAAGGATCTTACATTACACCACCAAGAAAGAGCAAATCAACAAAGACATTCAGTTACCGTATTCTCCCGGACAAAACACCCCCCCCAAATTGTACACCTCCAGGTAGCTTGTGCGGGGTGGGTGCTATAGCCGACCCCGTTTGTGTCACAACACTAGCTAGAACTTAGTAGCCATAGCTAGGGTTTAGGTTACAGAAAAGAGAAATGGAAGAAAGGGCATTTACTAGCAAGCAATGGTGTACATATAGTAAACCCTAGATGGGATGTACTCACTATAGAGTACCCTACTACAGACTAGACAAATAACACATTTTGACACACCCCCATAGGCAAAGTGGGGTATGATCAGCACAGCAAGCAGTCGCATAAGAAGTTCACAAGCACAAGCAAAACTAGAGGCAGTCACAAAGGGCAAGTGAGGAGGAGGAGGGACTGTGAAAGGAGTGGAGATAGGAGGCGACGGGTGAAGCCGCAGACACACGGGCAACAGGAGCGGCGCGCACGGGCTACCGAGCACAAGCAAGGGTATCCGGACTACTGGAGTCACTGGCTCCGCAGCTAAGACGAGCGGCTGGAGCAACGGACCCACGGGTGACTGGCGCAGCATGCTCGCTTGGCTACCGGAGCAAGGGCGACCCCCGGACTACAGGCGCTGCTGACTTCACGACGACTACCTCAGTTCAACCTCCCCCAACTGTTCCACACCCCTTTCACGCACCCCTTGCTGCACCCCTAGCTCCACTCCCACGACACCCCCCTAGCGCCACTCCCTCGGCTCCCACACACGCACCCCCTTCAGCGGCAGTTGCAGCAATGGGAGACTGAGGAAGAGGAGGAGCAGGGGACGGCTCACACACCCGCCACCCCCATACCCGCCACCCCCATACCCCATGTGCGGCGCGGGGCGGGGGAAGGGGATGGGGAGTTGGGGGGACAAGCGGAAGGTGGGGAAGGGGAGGATGAGGATGCAGAGGAAGGGGTTGGGGGACGGGGACGGAAAGAGGGTGGAAGAGCAGCGGGGAGGAAAGAGGAGAGGGGAGGCGGGAAGCAGAGAGAGAGTAAGAGGGATAAGAGGGAGAGGAAGAGGGCAGAGAGGATTAGTTAAGAGAGGAGGGAGAGAAAGAAAGTGCAGGAAGGGAAGCAGGGCGAGCAGTGGGGAGGGCAGGATCACGAGCAGCATAGGAGCACCTGTTGTAACAGCGTTCGGTTCACAGTAGACGGAGTACAGTCCACCGTTCTGGACCTCTCGCCAAGCCTAGACCATTTGCTTAGGAAGTGTCCGAACCTCCGCTCGCTCAACTTCCAAGCGACGCACTCATACCTCTTCCTCTCCCCCTCCCCTTCCCTCCTCCCTCTCCTCTCCTCCCTCACCCAACTCTCTGCTCCGCTCTTCCACCTCACTCCCTCCCTCCTCCTCCACCTCCCCTCCCTCACCTCCCTCTCTCTCACACTCCCCATCGCCCTCTCCACCCATCCACACTCGCAACTCGTCTCTCCCTCAACATATCGCTCCCAAAACCCCTCTCTTTCAGCCGGACAACTGACCATGTCAGCAGCAGCCCTGAGTGTCTCACAAACCCTGAGCTTTCCAGCAGCCCTGTGCTCGCCCAGTCCCTTCCAGCACCTCTCCTCTCTCACGTGCCTGCGACTGGATCTGGTTCCATGGCCCGAGGCAACAGTCAGTGAAGCTCTCACTCGCCTTCAGTCATCTCCATTGGACCAGCACCCCCCGGTGGAGCAGCAGCAGCAGCAGCAGCAGCAGCAGCAGCAGCAGCAGCAGCAGCAGCAGCAGCAGCAGCAGCAGCAGCAGCAGCAGTAGCAGCAGCAGCAGTACCATCACCAGAGGCAGCACCAGCAACAGCACCACCATCTTCTCGTTCTCCCCCCAGACATCTTCACCGGTTTGCACCGCTCTCTCCGCTCACTGCACCTATCCTCCTCCCTGCCCATCGTGCCCCCACCTTCCCTGCACGCCCTCTCGCGCCTCACCTCCCTCTGTCTCCACTCACCAGTGCTCACCGCCAATCCTCCCCTTGCTGCTGCTGCTGCTGCTGCTGCTGCTGCTACTGGGGGGCGAAATGGCCTCATGGAAACGGCACGTTTTGGTAGGAATGGTACCGGTGCTCGTGCTGGTTCTGGCGCTGCAGTGTCTGTCGGAACCGGCGTTTCGATTGGTCGTGACGTGGTCATCGGTAGCCGTCGGATGAACCACAACCACATCACAACTAGTAATGGTGATAGTGATGGTGATGATGATAACGACAATGAGCGAGAAAACAGTACTCATCTCCCTACCTTCCCTACCTTCCCTACCTTCGCTTCATCACACCACTCCCTCCACTCCCTCCTCTCCTCCTTCCCCCACCTCGCCCACATCTCTCTCCATGACTGCCCCTCCGTGCCCCCCTCTCTCCTCGCCCTCGCCACGCACCTCACCACCCTTCACCTCCCCCGCGCCTCCTCAGACCCTGATCAGGTCATCCCTCACTTATCCTCGCTATTGACTCTCTCACTAGGAGCCCTTGCAGTGCTACAGGACCGCTCCCCATTCCCACCCTCATTACAGTCCCTCTACGTCTGCTCTACCCCATTACCGCCTGCATTATCAGTAACACACACTCATACTAACACTAACACCCTCCCTCCTCTCTACTTCCCCCATACACGTTCCTCCTTCCCTTACTCTTCGTCCCCCCGTGCCTCCCCCTTGGTACTCCTCTCTCTCCAAACCTGGCACCTTCCGAACCTCCTCCGTCTTAGTATGGAAGGTGTTGCTTTAGCTCGGCACATCCCAGACCACGCCTGCCTCTTCCCGAGCCTCCGCATCCTGAAGCTGCGGAGGGTCGGCGGCAGGTTCGGCTTCACCAGCAACCAAGGCTTGGGAAAGCTTCCGAACCTGACCCATTTTCTGGGGGCACACAACCGCAGCCACAACAAACTCCTCTCTCTCTGCCCAAAAATCCATTTCTTCAAAGCGTATAAACCCGCTGAATATGTCGCACTAACTGTTCTGCAATCACTGCGCACTTTGGTAATTGACCATTACCATATCCAGTCGTGCTACCTGTGGTCCCTCTCTCGCTTCGTGTCACTCCATACGCTTCGGATCACGAACCTCCAAGTGCAGGCTCGGGGCAGGCCTGGGAGAATGACATGTCCGCCGAGCCTGACCTCCCTGCAGCTGGTGAATATTCAAGATACGGAGCTCCCTGGAGCTTTGTTACACTTTTCTGGAATACGAAGATTGGATTTGATTGACTGCTGGAAGTTGAAGGCGCTTCCTGTGTTCCTCACCAGGTTTGAGAATCTGGTTAGATTTAATATTGAAGGGTGCACACCAAGCAAGCTTGGATGTCGCAGCGATGTGGAGGCATTTTTGCAGGGGAAAAGGTTTTTCCAAGGGGAAATGGTGAAGTGTAGGGATGTTGATGAGGATGACTGGTAGCTGAAGCGAGTCCTGTCCTGTTTGTGGTGAGTTGATTCGTGCTTCAAATAGTGTTTATCGTTTATCTGATGCAAACATCTTCGCAAATACTTAGACTTATCTGTAAGATTGTTTTGCATTTATTAATGTAGTGGAATATTCAGTGGAGTAGAGTTGTGATTCCACACTACTTTCCCCGCTAAACGCCCTTCATTCCGAACTTCCGAGCTAACCCTGAACTGTTCGACACATGACTCTTCGCTGACGTCACGAATTTCCCAAACAGTCGGGTATACATGTCATCTCATCACAGCACATAGGTCCCAGCCTCGCACACGAACGTCACGTCGATCCGAAACACGATTATTTTCTCTCTTCGGCCGTCATCGAAGTGCTTCGAGTGAGATCATCCGCCGTGACGGTGTTGTAGTTTAACCTAAACACTTCTAAAGCATGGCGTCCGTGGACCGGGGCGTGTCTATTCGCGTAGTAGCAGAGACCTTGATCGCTTCATGCTGCTCGGTGCTCCGACTCCCGTCCTGCGCCGGCCGGCGGGAAGGCCTAGCAGAGTACATTAGCAGTGCAGCATCTGTGCTTATGAATTCGAGACATCCAGAAAAGACTCGTGCGTTTGAGACGTTCGAAATCGTGAAGGCCAAGGAGTTGGAGCAACCGCGGTGGTCATAGTCCTTCCCTCGTACGTCCACGTGCTGAGCGACATTTGAGTCGACTTGAAAGGAGCAACTGGTACTGGTCCCTCCGTCGTACGTCCGCGTGCTGAGCGACATTTGAGTAGTTGCTCCTTTTGAGTTCCACGTACGACTCAAAAGGAGCAACTGCAGTGGTACTGGTCCCTCCCTCGTACGTCCGCGTGCTGAGCGAAAGACGAACAAGAGCACGCCGCAAGAGGAGGAGCAAGAGGAGGAGCGGTAGAAGGGAGAGACGAAGTGAGGAGCTAGCGCGGAGCAAGAGAATGGAGGAGCTGCAACCCTTGCACTCAGGGATGGACGCGTGTCAGAAGCTGACTGGGTCAGAAGCAACCAGCGAGCATGCGTATGACATGCAGCTGAAGCAGCGTCTTCTAGATCTGCCCGAATTTCAAAGCGCGCTGCGCACCTATGCTTCTTGCCTCAAGGTATGCCGCAGAACCATGCCTTTCAATCCATTAGAGGTGGCCTTTCCCTCTCCCTCTACTATCCCTCGCTTCTCCAATCTCCCTCCCCGCACACTATTCCGCCCTCCCCACTCTCAACCCCCCTCCCTCCCCCCCCCCCCCTCCCCCCCTCCCCTCTCCACCCTCCCTCTCCCTGCCCCCTCCACTCTCCCTCTTCCCTCATTCTCTCTCCCCCCTCCTCTCCGCCCTCCCTGCCCCCTCCTACCTCCGCACTATTTCAGATCGGGGCGTCTCCTGAGTTTCTGGCAGCCGTTGATGGGTTTGATCCTGTGGCTGCGCTGCATCTAAAATACACCAGTGCTGAGCAGCTGAATCACACCACTGCCAAAAAGGGAAAACACACCACTGCTGCATGTGCTGGCCAGCAGAAACACACCAGTGCTGATCAGCAGAAAATACATGTGCTGATCACCAGTGCTGATATGTGTGACAGTGACAGCAGCCGTGAGGAGGTCCTGAATCCAACAGCCAGTGGGGTTGGAAGGACAAAGACACCTATCAGCGATTCAAGGGGCGCCAATGGGTTCGGTGCGGTGGGAATGGATGCAGGGTTAGAGGCAGCTCTCGAGGCGGATGGCTTGGCTGCCGCTCACGATCTGATGGTGCGTTTCCTCCTGTTCTCCAAAGGGTATGTATGTATCCTGTGCCTCCTCCATTCCATTCCAATCTACCTCCTTCCATACGTCATTCGATTCTTGCGTTGCCTTACATCCAAATGCCTCATTTATTCGTCACTATATCCTTCTTGGCGTCTCTCTTTAAATCCCTCACGTCTTGCCGTACTTGCCTGCTCATTCCTTACCTCATCTCCTCATTCCTTCTCACAGTTCCTTCGCACACCTCCTCACTCCTTCCCAAACCTCCTCATCCCTTCTCACACCTCCTTATTCCTTCTCACATGTCCTCATTCCTTCCCATTCCCAAGGTTCAAACTTACCAACGTATTTATGAAATTGATCTACGATTTCTCACAGGAGCCTATTAAAAGAAACCGTATAAAACGGTAACATTTCAAAAATACGACCGTAATTTTGAACCTTGCCCATTCCTCCTTCCAGGCGTCTCTCTCTGAAGCCCTCACTGCGTGCCGCACTCGCCTGCTTGCAGCCCACGCGGCTGCCGAGTCATTCCTTGTGGATGTGGAAAACAGCCACTTGCAGGATACTGCTGTTGGTGCTGCTGGTGCTCTTGATGCTGCTGGTGCTGCTGATGCTGCTGGTGCTGCTGATGCTGATGCTGCTGATGCTGCTGGTGCTGCTGGTGCTGCTGATGCTGATGCTGCTGATGCTGCTGGTGCTGCTGATACTGATGCTGCTGATGCTGCTGGTGCTGCTGATGCTGATGCTGCTGATACTGCTGGTGGTGTTGCTGTTCCTGATGGTGGCGCTGCTGGCGTTGCTGGTGCTGATGCTGTCAACCCTGGAATTTCCAACAGCAGCAGCGGCAGTGGAAGCAGCAGTGATGGCGATGGTGCGTTCACCAGCAGTGCAATGGGCAGCAGAGGAAGCGGTGGTTTCCTGGAAGGAGACCGAGACGACATGTACGATGACATCATGGCTGACATCAGCACAAGCTCAACTCTTGCAACTCACAGCCGAGAACACCAGGGCGCCGGCCCACACGTAAAAGCAGAGGCCGCCAGCTCAGCATTGCCAGCTGGCGTTTTTTACTATTCTCAGGGGTTGCATGAGGGTTACCCTGGGAGTATGGATAGGACGCAACATGGCTTTGACTTCTCCCAGAGCGGCCCGGAAGACGAGTGGGAGGAGGAGGAGATAGAGAGTGTGGAGCAGGTGGAGCGGGCGGTGAGGGGGCGGTTTGGGGGGTTCCTGCGGACGGTGAGTGCGGAGCATGTGGCCAAGCACGTCAAGGGCAAGCTGCCCGAGGAAGCCACCGGGAAGCTTCTGCGCTGGTGGACCGAGCATGTCAGCTGGCCGTATCCTACCGTGAGTGTGAGAGCATGTGGCTACGGTTTAGGGCTGTGTGCGTGCGTGCGGGCGTGTGTGCGTGTGGGCGTGCGTGTGGGCGTGTGTGCGGGCGTGTGTGTGGGTGTGTGTGTGGGCGTGTGTGTGGGCGTGTGTGTGTGTGTGTGTGTGTGTGTGTGTGTGTGAAGCTTCGCTTGGTCAACCAGGATGCAGAGTGTGAGGGGGAGGAGATAGCAGGTGACCAGTGACAGGTGACAGGTGAGTGGCAGGTGTGCGGTGGAGTGACAGGTGTGCATGTACCGAGCATGTCAGCTGGCCGTACCCAACTGTGAGTGGTTACTGTGGCAGGTGTGTGTGTACCATGCTTGTGGTGAAGCGATATGGGCAAGTGTGTGACGCATGTGACGGGCTATGTGACGGGCCATGTGAGGGGCAGGCGTTGCCGATGACACAATTGCTGAGCTGGCGCCCGGGAAGATGGGCAAGCTGCCAGGCGGGATCACGGGGAAGCATGGTGACTTTTGAGTTGACAGGAAAGTCACCTCTTTTGAGCCGACTCAGCAGTCACCGCTCTGGTAACGAGGCAGCTGGTGGGCTGGCACATCGGAAGATAGGCAAGCTGTCAGACAGAACCACAGGGAGGAACCACGTAGGCTGGTGGAACAACCACCGTACCAGCAACGCCAGACTTGATTACGTACTCATCCTGTGCTTCTCTGCTGCGTTTTTTCCCTGAATGTGTTGTTGTGTGTCCTCCTGGAGCACAGGAGCAGGAGAAGCTGCAGCTGATGGGGCAGACGGGGCTGGACTCACGGCAGGTGAACAACTGGTTCATCAACCAGCGCAAGAGGCACTGGACCCAGCACAGCAAGAGGCAGCGCAAGGGCGTGTAGTAGTGGGGCTGGTAGTGGCTGCAGTGGGGCAGACGGGGCTGGTCTCACGGCAGATGAACAACTGGTTCATTAACCAGCGCAAGAGGCACTGGACCCAGCACAGCAAGAGGCAGCGCAAGGGCGTAAGGTGGATAGGTACTTGGTAGGTATGGTATTCACAGAATCCATTTAAAATTTACTTCAATTGCACATTCGCGGTTGTTTAGGACACCTTATTTTATATGCAGTTTCTGCGCGTCCCAGTCTATTTTGACTCCTAAATCAAAGACTTTCTATCTAAGGCAGACACATTGTAATGGAAGCATAAATTTATTAACTACTGTTCTCTGATGCAGGGGACGGGGAATTCCAAACTTTAGTCTCCACCGCGCCCGTCAGATTCAGCGATGTTGTCGGCGCGCTGATGGCGAGCGAGATTGGCGAAGAACGCGTTCGGCCCCACGTGACCAAAGGTCGCAGGCGACCCGGACCGATTTCCGTCGCCGAGGTACGTTGGTTTGGGCGAAGCGTTCCGTCGAACGCTAGTCATCTAGGGTAACGAGCGTTACCTATTCCGGTCGCAAACGCTCGCAAAAGCCGCAATCCCTTGCAACAGCGAATGTTTTGCCCACTCTGACCATTCCCTCCTATTGGACTAGGCATTGCCAAACGCGTTCCATCCAGCCTTCGTTCCATTTATGCATTATCAATCACAGCGATAATGCATTCCTACAGGCATTCCCGCAGTTCTCGCAAGCAACTCTGCGCCGAGAGCGCGTGACTGGTCGTAGTACTACAAGGCGGAAGTCTTTTCGCCCTGCACCCCGTCGCGGAGTCTGAAGCCCGCCTCGTCCATCCGCAACCCGCCAGTGGGCTTTCTTCCCGTCATCCCTGGCCCCGTCCGCCTCTCCTTTTCACCGCGAAAAATATGGCGAAAATCGCTCTCACCCTCCCCTGCGCTGCTCCCTCCGCGCGGTACGCTGTGCGTTCGTCTCCTTCCGCGCGCCCCTCACCTTTCCGCAACGAAACGAAACGCGTTACATTACTGTCCGCGAGTCCACTCCGCAGCGCAAAATGTCAGATTACTGTTCTTAGTAGGAACAATGAACGAGTGTGCGCTTCACCACTCACTCTCTACACATATATCGACGCTTCCTTCCGAGGCCGTAATCACATTCTCACACCACTTCCAGCTGATCACGTGTTGTCGCGCCTCTTCCTGACTCGCACTTTGCGAGCTCCACCCAATCCCACTTCGTCACGCCTATACGAGCCTCAGTATCTGAGACTGCGCTTCGACTCCTGTCTTGCAAAGCCGAAGCCTTCGACATCGTGGCCGTGACCTTTGATTCCTCTCGCCATGGTGGAACGCTCCGGGCGGCGGTCTGACGTTGGCGTTGGCGTTGGCGTTGGCCTGGGCGCGCTCGTCGCGGGACTCGTTGCACTCAGCCTCCTCGCGACCCACGCCAGCGCTACTAGTGAGTGCTGGATGGCTGCCGCCGCGCGCCCACCACTGGCATGGAAAAGACATGAGCACGGAAAAGACATGAGCACGGAAAAGACATGAGCACGGAAAAGACATGAGCATGGAAAAGAAATGAGCACGGAAAAGACATGACAGGCTACAGGTGCCCACTCTTGCTTCTCGCCCTCTTGTCTCCTCGCCCTCTTGCTCCTCGCCCTCTTTAGGCATGCTGCCAACTCAATTGCCCCCAACAGGCTTTAGTTGTGGAGTCGGGACCTGTTATGGGGAGGGTTCCTACTGCCTTTGGTATGGTACCAAAACCTTCGGGTGCGGGTGCAGCAATGGTTTTGCCTTGGCCGGTCTTAGGATCGTAAACACCTTAGTCGGCAATAGTCTACTTGCTATTGCTTATCGTGTTCTCCACGATCTCCCAAATCCAACGATATGCGCAGCTCTGCTTGAAGTTGTCAATACACACTTCAGCAATTTTCAGAATCTGATTGGTTTCAATGTTGTATTTTCCAGAATGAGTACAAGCAGTTTTATAGTCAAGCAAGACACAAAATGCGATTCGTAACTTCACTTGTTTCCCAAGTAACCGCGTGCGCCTCGTTTCACCCCGAGTCGCACACGGAACCGAACCGAATTCGGTGAACACTCCTCAAGACCGAATCTGGAACCTTCTCGAACGCGCCTTGGTCTCAGACCACAATTTCCCCCGTCGATCTCATCCTCGATGCTTCTCCTTCTCTCTTCCTCCATTTCTTTGGTTCCTTCTCGATTTCTCTCCCGCTTCTCACGCCGTAGGCTGATTTCCACCGTTTCACCTAGAATCATCCACGCGCTTCCATTTCGCCGTCATTCCGCCGTCGTAGAGACTTTCGCCATAGGTTCCGTGGTTGGGCGAACCAACCCTAACAATCTCCCCTGTGGTTCGTCAACCACGAACACCACTCGCACTGCTTTCCTGCTCCTTGTAGCATTCACAGGGTCTAAGTCGGCTTCACGCTCCCCTGCAGCTCCTGCACCTTGAACCTCTGCTTACGTGTCTTGAAGTTGAGCGCCTTGATATCCAAACCATGAGGCATCTTCTTAAGCCTCTCGCTTCTCCTCGGAATCTTAGCACCCAACACCTCTCGGGTCTCGTACCCCTCAAAGTGTTCCTCTTTCGTAAGCACACGCCCCTTTGCAGTTGCATTCACCTTTGATCCCTTCACCATGATGCCCCCTTTCACAGCTTCAACTTCCACACACTTCGCATTTACTGCTTCATCTTTAACCATGATCGCTGCTGCAAAAGTGTTGACACCATCTCCATCTCCACCATTCAGTGTTGCTGCCTCCATGGTGACTATCTCCTCTTCCTGCTTCACTGCTGCCTCCACACTCGCAGCCATATCATCCGAGTCCTCACTCTCATCATCCTCAGTAGACTCAGGATCCTCATAGATCTCATCCTTATCGTTCATCGCGACCAAGTTCATCTCATAGAAACCGTCACTGAAATAACCATCCGCATACTTCTCCCACTCAGGACCAAACACGGTAACCTCACCACTGTCATAGAATATCTTGCACCCCAAGTTATCAAGCTGTGACTGACTGACCAAGTTCACCTTCAAATCCGCAACCAGCAACACACTCTCCAGTTTCACTACTCCATACGGACTTCGCAGCACCACATCACCCTCTCCTGTCACTGGTAACTTTCCACTGTTACCTTGCAGTATATAATCCTCACTCGACTCCCTCACATTCTCCATCCAATCTGACCTGAATGTCATGTGACGCGTGCATCCGCTGTCCATGTACCATGCCGTCTTCTCACGTCCGTCCGTCTGACGAACCTCCTTTGGTAAACGCACCACGTTCGCAAGATGCGCTCCTCCAAGGATCACATCATCCTCGTTCGCTTCCGCTACATTCGCCTTAGCCGCCACATTCCTCTGCTGCGACGGACCCTTGTAGCTCCTGCTGTTCGGATTGGAGTAGCACTCTGCGGCACGATGTCCGTAGCGCCCACAATAATCACACTTGCCGCCAAAACCTCGTTTCTGTTGCCACTCTGCTCCCCCATTTTCTCCTTTCTTGCCCTTGTAGTTTCTGCTTCGCGGATTTTCGTAGCAGTTTATCGCCTTATGCCCCCTCTTTCCACACTGGTAGCACGCTCCAAACGCCTTTGTCACATTCACCATAGCCGGCCTTTCCTCGTCGAATTCCGTAGCTGCTACTGCCGCTTTCTTTTTCCTCATCTCCTTCACCGTCTCAAGCGATTGCAGGATCTCCTGCAGCTTCGTCAAACTCTCCGGCGGTTGGTACGTAAACATTCCAATGTCGGATTCCCACTCCTTAGGAAGGCCTTGGATGATATAGTCAATCATCTCATGCTCCGTCTCCGCGGCTCCCATCACCCGCAAATCGTCGTTGTAGCTTTTCGCCCTGTTGATGTAGGTGATGATTTTCTCGCCTTTCTCCATGCTCAGCATCAGCAGCTGCTTCCGAATCGCCTTCTTGTTGACATCGTTCGTACCCATGTACGTGGACTCTAGGTACTCCCACGCTCGCTGTGCAGAGTTCAGCTCCCCTGCAAATTGGTCCAAATCCACTGCGATTCCATCGGCAACTGAATGACAAAGCTGAAAGAACGCTTGCTTACTTTGCTTTTTTAAACGCCGCTATTTTCTCCTTCGTATCCGTCGTCGAAGGCGCAACTCCCTCCATCGTCTCCTCATCGGGGCGGTAGTACGGCAAGAGGTCCACCTCCTCTGCCCTTCGAATGAACTTCTTCCGCCACACGTTGTAGTTGCTCCCGTTGAAGCGCTGGGCTTCACTGAGCCCGATCGTCGGTTTCACCACCAATCGGCCACTCGCAAGGGCCTCAAGAAGAGCCTTCAACTGCGGGTCTCCAAGACTCACACTGGAACCCGAACTCGCCTCGTCTCCCATGTCGTAGGCGTGAACGACTCCTCTTCTCCACTAATTTCACTTAGCGCACCAAGTGAATTCACGACGATCGACGAGCCCGTTCGTCAAGCTCTGATACCAGTTCTTAGGATCGTAAACACCTTAGTCGGCAATAGTCTACTTGCTATTGCTTATCGTGTTCTCCACGATCTCCCGAATCCAACGATATGCGCAGCTCTGGTTGAAGTTGTCAATACACACTTCAGCAATTTTCAGAATCTGATTGGTTTCAATGTTGTATTTTCCAGAATGAGTACAAGCAGTTTTATAGTCAAGCAAGACACAAAATGCGATTCGTAGCTTCACTTGTTTCCCAAGTAACCGCGTGCGCCTCGTTTCACCCCGAGTCGCACACGGAACCGAACCGAATTCGGTGAACACTCCTCAAGACCGAATCTGGAACCTTCTCGAACGCGCCTTGGTCTCAGACCACAATTTCCCCCGTCGATCTCATCCTCGATGCTTCTCCTTCTCTCTTCCTCCATTTCTTTGGTTCCTTCTCGATTTCTCTCCCGCTTCTCACGCCGTAGGCTGATTTCCACCGTTTCACCTAGAATCATCCACGCGCTTCCATTTCGCCGTCATTCCGCCGTCGTAGAGACTTTCGCCATAGGTTCCGTGGTTGGGCGAACCAACCCTAACAGCCGGATATACCTGCTACAGAGGTGAGTGTAAATGAACAGCGTTTGCATCACGCTCATAAGCAATAACTTTCCTACTTTATCTCAACAACACATGATTTCCTTTGTAGCAGTGTGGGTGGGTGCTGGACGGTTGGTTAGTGCACGCATTGGGTTAATCAAAGTCGTGCATTTCACTCCCACAATCATTTCGCAATCAAAGCCCTTCTTTGCCTCGAACCACAACAATTTCCCATGCAGCTGAGTGTTTGACTTTTATGGACTGCGGTGGAGATCCCTACAGTTATTGCTCTGTCGAGGATGATAACACTCGCCGCTGCACGTGCTTCGATGATGCTAATGGTCACACCATGTACTACAACGCAACAACCAAGACATGCCATGGTGAGTGCTGGCATGTGAGTGATCCCTACAGTGCTGCATGCACTATCGCAGACGATAACACTCGCCACTGCACGTGCTTTGATGATGCTAATGGTCACTCCATGCACTACACCGCATTCCCCTGCAGACGCGTGTTATCAAGTGGATTGCGGCAGCAGTGCTTCCTGCTCTTTGGCCGATGGCACTCCCAAGTGCTCGTGCAAAGCTACTGGTTACACCTTCAATGGAGCAGACAAGACTTGCCATGGTAAGTGGAAGTGTGGGTGGGTTCTGGAGTGTGGGTGGGTGCTAGAGTGTGGGTGGATGCTGGAGTGTGGGTGGGTGCTGGAGTGTGGGTGGGTGCTGGAGTGTGGGTGGGTGCTGGAGTGTGGGTAGATGTTGGATATGGGTATGTTCTGAAGTGTGAGTTTGTTCTCACGATTAGGTAAAATCGTCCATTTCACATCTCCGGGCCCCTATTTCACCTTAAAATGATCATGCATTCCCCTGCAGACGCGTGTTATCAAGTGAATTGCGGCAGAAGTGCTTCCTGCTCTTTGGTCGATGGCACTCCCAAGTGCTCGTGCAAAGCTACTGGTTACACCTTCAATGAAGCAGACAAGACTTGCCATGGTGAGTGGAAGTGTGGGTGGGTTCTGGAGTGTGGCTTGGGTGCTGGAGTGTGGGTGGGTGTTGGATATGGGTGTGTTTTGAAGTGTGAGTTTGTTCTCATGATTAATAAAATCGTCCATTTCACATCTCCGTTCCCCTATTTCACCTAAAACCATCATGCACTCCTGTGCAGACGCGTGTTATCAAGTGGATTGTGGCAGCAGTGCTTCCTGCTCTTTGGTCGATGGCACTCCCAAGTGCTCGTGCAAAGCTACTGGTTACACCTTCAATGAAGCAGACAAGACTTGCCATGGTGAGTGGAAGTGTGGGTGGGTTCTGGAGTGTGGGTGGGTGCTGGAGTGTGGGTGGGTGCTGGAGTGTGGGTGGGTGCTGGAGTGTGGGTGGGTGTTGGATATGGGTATGTTCTGAAGTGTGAGTTTGTTCTCACGATTAGGTAAAATCGTCCATTTCACATCTCCGGTCCCCTATTTCACCTTAAAATGATCATGCATTCCCCTGCAGACGCGTGTTATCAAGTGGATTGCGGCAGCAGTGCTTCCTGCTCTTTGGTCGATGGCACTCTCAAGTGCTCGTGCAAAGCTACTGGTTACACCTTCAATGAAGCAGACAAGACTTGCCATGGTGAGTGGAAGTGTGGGTGGGTTATGGAGTGTAGCTTGGGTGCTGGAGTGTGGGTGGGTGTTGGATATGGGTGTGTTTTGAAGTGTGAGTTTGTTCTCATGATTAATAAAATCGTCCATTTCACATCTCCGGTCCCCTATTTCACCTAAAACCATCATGCACTCCCGTGCAGACGCGTGTTATCAAGTGGATTGCGGCAGCAGTGCTTCCTGCTCTTTGGCCGATGGCACTCCCAAGTGCTCGTGCAAAGCTACTGGTTACACCTTCAATGGAGCAGACAAGACTTGCCATGGTGAGTGGAAGTGTGGGTGGGTTCTGGAGTGTGGGTGGGTGCTGGAGTGTGGGTGGGTGTTGGATATGGGTGTGTTTTGAAGTGTGAGTTTGTCCTCATGATTAATAAAGTCGTCCATTTCACATCTCCGGTCCCCTATTTCACCTAAAACCATCATGCACTCCCGTGCAGACGCGTGTTATCAAGTGGATTGCGGCAGCAGTGCTTCCTGCTCTTTGGCCGATGGCACTCCCAAGTGCTCGTGCAAAGCTACTGGTTACACCTTCAATGGAGCAGACAAGACTTGCCATGGTAAGTGGAAGTGTGGGTGGGTTCTGGAGTGTGGGTGGGTGCTAGAGTGTGGGTGGGTGCTGGAGTGTGGGTGGGTGCTGGAGTGTGGGTAGATGTTGGATATGGGTATGTTCTGAAGTGTGAGTTTGTTCTCACGATTAGGTAAAATCGTCCATTTCACATCTCCGGGCCCCTATTTCACCTTAAAATGATCATGCATTCCCCTGCAGACGCGTGTTATCAAGTGAATTGCGGCAGAAGTGCTTCCTGCTCTTTGGTCGATGGCACTCCCAAGTGCTCGTGCAAAGCTACTGGTTACACCTTCAATGAAGCAGACAAGACTTGCCATGGTGAGTGGAAGTGTGGGTGGGTTCTGGAGTGTGGCTTGGGTGCTGGAGTGTGGGTGGGTGTTGGATATGGGTGTGTTTTGAAGTGTGAGTTTGTTCTCATGATTAATAAAATCGTCCATTTCACATCTCCGGTCCCCTATTTCACCTAAAACCATCATGCACTCCCGTGCAGACGCGTGTTATCAAGTGGATTGCGGCAGCAGTGCTTCCTGCTCTTTGGCCGATGGCACTCCCAAGTGCTCGTGCAAAGCTACTGGTTACACCTTCAATGGAGCAGACAAGACTTGCCATGGTAAGTGGAAGTGTGGGTGGGTTCTGGAGTGTGGGTGGGTGCTAGAGTGTGGGTGGGT